AAACATGTTTAACACAAGAACTCGAAACAATGGCAGCATAGCCCGCATTAAGGATTTTAGAACGACTTGCAAACCTAAAAATGGAAATCATAAAATTTTCTTTCAACTACAAATAGAAGATTGGTGAGGCGCAATATCAACAAAGACATGTTTATAAGTTTTAAGCAGAAATTTTTTCTTTCAAACCTATAGGCACTTTTAAATATGCCTATAGAGTTCTGTTGTGCTTCTGAACATAAATCGCATGCTCACTAAACTAGCAGGGCCGGTTACACGAAGCCTGGATGGCCTGATCAATTGGATAGTAATTTTTTCAAACTTTCGAAGAAGATGTTCATCTTTTTACGATGATGAAACTTCTAGTACCAATATTGTATTTTATTGATTGTCCAGTTTAAATCGTAGATTTCTGCTTTTTGAAGAAATCTTTGAAGCGTTCTAAAGTATTACCATTCAGTGAATAGCGCTATTCCGCCTTCTTGCAACCGGCACAAAAACTGTACGTATATAATAATCACGTGGCTCTATGACGCGTTTGACCTTACTTAAAGGAGTCATTTTAGAAGCAAGTTTGTCACCTGTTAACAAGAACTGGTGAAATAATTCTTGGACGCTTACGTTGTGTAGTTTTTAATTTATGCAAAGTTATCTATTCTTATTTCGCCTCCACCCCACATACATTTACATCTATGATGATGAAATATTCATAAAAGGCTGATGAGAAATTTTCAGAGAACAAGTGTACCGTTCCAAAGTGTCAAAATGATTTAACTCACTTAGCACATAAGTAATAATGGTTACTAGATAGTAGATAACTTTAGTTCGTGTGTTGTCTGACACTTAATTGACACAATACGGTGGGTCGAGTTCACGTGAGAAATTCCCATTGCATTATGGGTAACAAGTCGAGAACTTGAAGTGATTTCCTTTGACTTCATGAATGTCCAAAATTCAAATCAAAACTTACTTGGAATATTTGATACAAGTTTAAGTGGTCTTAAAACTCTGAAGGCTCGTAACGGTCTCACGTTTCCAAGGTTACCACTTACCAAATATCCAACATACCTTAATATAAACAAAGACCAAACTCTAGCATGCCTTTAAACAATAGTTTATTCAACATGTAATGGGTTCGTAAATTATTCGGTCAAAATCTCGTGAACATTATATAGGATGCTCATAACGAGCATATGTTGCTTTAAAATAAATGCTCGTTGTGCACATGTCAAATTTAAGGATACAGAACATCAATTTCGTGATGTTCAGCGCAGCTGGAGACCTAAATACCTCTATTGTTAAATTTTTCTACTGAAAGAAGTAGACACTTGCATAAATTGCCCTACTGCGTGTTTTAAGAATCATTTGCATTAAACAATAAACATTGTTGGGGTTAGGAATCTGCAGCTAAGGAATAAACAGGAAACTCTCGTTCTAAATACAACACTACGGTCCACCCACTTAACATTATATTTTTAGGGTTGACATTTTGTTACGTAGCCTAACGCTAGCTTGTTCGTATAATGACGTGCTTACCCAGTTATGACGACAACGAAATCCAAAACATTCCATCCGTCTCTCAAATAGGAACCTGGCTGGAACAAAAATCCCAGCGCGATAATTTTCAAAACAGCTTCAATTGTGAAAATTACCAAAAACACAATTTCTGAATCATCCTGCAATATGAAGATTTGCGTAAACGTTTTTTACGTCATAATTATTTATTTATATTAACAAACCAGCTTCGTTTGTTCAGTTTAATTTGAAGAAATTCAATAGTTCAACTGACAAAACAATATTTTTTATCTTCTATATAAATAGCACATCATTTTTGCCAGCTAATATTCTTTCAAAACAAATGAAAAAGTTCATAACTTGAACGAAACAGTTGTTGTCATAATACATATTTAGATAAACATAGCAAGCGAAAAAGAACAATATTATTACAAACCAATTGATTGTTTATCGAGCTTTTATCCTCATTGGGCAAAGGAACGTCCAGCGCTAAAACAACACAGTTTGCCAGTATTGTTGCCAAGATAAAATAATCAAATGCTCTGGGGAAAAGTTAAGAAAAGCTAAAAAAAACCCAAACGCAACAATCTTACACTGAATGTTATCACTACTCGATTTATGATTGTTAGATTCTAAAAAATGAAAAATCAATGATGAATTACATGTAAAGTATAAGAAGTACACTATACGTATCTCGTGACGGCACACACGGACGGTGTGGCTATTTTCATTTTCATCACAAAACGTCTTTGTTCATATTAATGGCCTTTTTAAAAATGCAGACTGAAACATTTTGTTTCATAGGATTATGTCATCGCTACTCTCAAAGATATATACACGTATAGGACAGCAGACTACAACATTTAATTTAACTAAATATTTCTTAGAGTCCAGTTGAACAAAAATTCTCAACACTGATGTAGAATAGTGATGAAAAAATAGAGAAGAAAATTGTGTGTCTATTTGATGTACCAATATCCTACCTTGACCATTGACCAATTGTCATAATTTCTAACGTTATTTATTTTAGTCACATTAGCGTGAAATTTATGCAAAGCCCTGGATGCGTTTGTCCTGTAATTTGCTTTAATACGAAACAGATATGCATCAGGTAGGCAGTATTACGATTTTAAATTATTTTAAATATGATGAACATTGTTATCAAACCTTACTCTTGCAGAACATAACTCGTGTATTTTCTTTCGGATCTACATTCACACGATTAACTTCATTCTCTATAAATATTCATTTTTGTACGTAAACTTTCACGAAAAGGATATTTTGTATTGACTATGAATTCTGCGCTTCGTCGAAGAATATTGTCCTCTGAAAGGCAGAAGAGCGAGCGATGACCTTTGTTTGTTGAATGTGCGACCCCACGAGTTTGTCGATCATCATTTTTAGTGTTTAATTCATGATTCGTTGCCATTTCTATCGTAACGACGTTTTTCAATTCAAGTCGAAAGTTCAATCAACTGAAACTTTTTTTGATCAATTTGGATATATGAGTTTAAGTTATACCAGTTCTTTCATAACAATCTCCGCCTGCTGACGGCCGTTGATGATAAAGAAGTTGTGGCACTGATCTTGACGAACCTTGCTCTCAAGTACATTTCCGTTGTGTGTTTCTTATCACAACGTATGCTAATTTCAAGCCTCTCTCTCTCTGGCTGTCTCTATCTGCATACATGCTGTTCGTAGCAGCCGCTTCTGCTTAAAATATGCATGAAGTGACTAAGGCAAGTTTGACCAGCTAAACACTTAAAATGAGGAATATCTCTAGTTAAAGCACACCACATTTAGTAAAGACTCACAAACTGTAAGGTGGCGATATGAGTTGGGAGAAAAAGAAAGTTCTACAATTCCATGGCAATAAAATAGTTCGATCCTGAGCTTCGACGTATTGACTTTCAAATTGCGTGTCATTGTCGCGGCAAAACATCTGCAGACGTTGCCAGTTTGACAAAAATGGCCGCATCAACTTTTCGTAGTTTGTGTAGTGTTATACTGTAAAGTCTTAACAAACAAGAATTTTCTTGTTTGTTTATAGAAAAAATTTAAATTTTAACGTCCGACATCTCATCCTTCATTACCGGGACTAATGAAGTAATTTTAAACTCTAAACTCAAATAAATTTTTAATCAAACTAAGATAAACTGTATACATTCTATCATGTTTTACGATCTACTTTCAGATTGTATTTTTATAAAAACATGACATATTGCATGGTGATTGGGTATTGCATGCTTTACTTTAGGAAATGAGTATCAATGATAAATACTGCATGGGATTGATCACTCATAAATATGTGTATGTAAACCGTGCACAAACCATGTTCAGCAGCTTGTTAAGTTTGAGTCATTTTGATTTAAAATATGAAATTGATAGTTTTGTCCACTGACCAAGACCAAGCGTATTTTATACCGCAGGCAAAAATATACACTCGAGTTAAAGTATAGAAGAGTTACCGATAAAAGGTGAAAATTTGAAGAATCTTTGTGTATATGTTATCAAAAACAGCAGTAAATGAATAATACCTTCTTGTAGGTCTAATAAGTTATCTATCATAAATGACTCACTGCTCACAATCAAAATTTAATGCGTTCAAATTCAATTAAGGCTTCCATGTTAGGTTTGTTTCAACGCAATCGGTCTCTGCCTGGCTTTATAAAAATGTTTGTTTGTTTAACAAGCGAATGTTTGAATTCATCATAGCTACTTAAGCTGGACATAATCAAGGCTTCGCAAACTCGTATTTACGTTTGTTTGACAAATGTTGGCGTTGTTTCGATAGCGATTTCAATTTAGAAAAGCTTTTCTCTTCATACAACGATCGGTCAATTAATAATGTTGAATTTGCATCCTGCTTTGAAAATATGCCGTTCATAGTGCGTAGATCCAACTACAGATATTGGTGAGTGTAGGAAACAGCATTTTCATGACATTGATCATAATGAATGGTAAACATCTTCACATTGAGTATTTACGTCAAAATTACTTGTATCATACTCAGATCTGTGCTCAGATGATCATAAACAGATATCAATGATTACGTAATGTGCACACGTCATTGACGATGTGAATTCCAGTGACGTCAAAATATTAATTCAATTACCTGTATTCAACGTTAAGGCTGGTTTAAGAAAAGAATATTACCATGTGAATTAAATACATAGAATTACATACAATCTAGATAATATTCAGCGAAAATAACACGATAATGCTTTGCTGAGAAACATCACGACTAACGCCATGAAAAGTCAAATCAATATAAGGTAAAGGTTCAGCGAGTGATCTCAATCCAAGTGCGTTTTATGCATGCACTAACGAAAAAAAGTTTTTGTGTTAAAATGACATCACATGATGACGTATTATTCAAACCAAACAAGTAATATTACTATATGGCAAAGTTTGATGACGTATGTTAAACAACATGCACCCCCAGTGATCATTTGTTTCGCAATCGCACTAAGCAAAGCGGGACTGGATGTCAAATTTTACATGTGGTTTAAACATCTCTCATACAAGAAGAACTACAAACTTTCACTGTTTATGAACGGTATGAAAGAAAATTTTACCAACGTTAATAACTCCTACACACGCACGCATGAGTACTGCATTTTATTATTAACGTATCATCCTGTTCTTGAATTGCATCATAAAAGTAAGATGTATTTATGTATATTGTATTTGCGTGTATTTTTAGTTTCAATGATAAACAATTATGTACTCAAATAGTTTCCTAATGATGTCATTACAAAACTCATATATTGATGTCATTTGGCACGAAAGTTATGATTTCCTACGTCACGAACATTTGCATAAATTGCATGAGGTTTATTTTAGTCAGTTATTCAGAGTTGGTTAGAGACTCATAGCAGTGGTGTAAGTTTGAACCACGCTGTCCGTGGTTCGTTAAGGATGGGGTGCTCCCTCCCCTACACCAAAAATCTGACAACATAAACATTTTCTCAAAAGTCCTTAGTAGAACACGATATTAACTGATTTATAATTTACAAAGAAAAAAAAACAATTAGAACTTTCAATTTACTACTAGGAACACGAATTATCTTGAGTATTATGTGCTTCCACCTGACCAAGTATAAACCAACTTTATTGTATTTTCATAAATAACACCGCTCAGGAAGAGCTATTCCACTTTTTTCCTGATACTCTTAGTTTTGGTAATTTTTTCTGAACGATCAGCTCTTTTTTAATCACCAATGTAAATATGTTCCATGTAATGAACAAAAACTTCTTAAAAACATTTCTTGAAGGTTTCGAAGAATCTGTTGGTTGATTATGGTGACGAATTTAATGGTATTCGAATTGAGTCTAAAATTCTATTCTGTCGTAAACGAGGATTTTCTAAGCGAAAAAGGGCGTAATTTAAATTATTTTCCAACAAATAACTTATTGTTAATACAGTTCGGAAATTAAAAAATGTTATTTATTGGTAACAATTAAAGAACTTATTTAATTAGTATGAAATCACAAAAAATTTATAAGCTTTCATATTAAATAAATTACAATATTATGAAAGTACGATTGCAAGCTTTCCTTCTATCCTTAATAACGGTTTTTGTCGCTTTTTTTGTCTACAACAGGACTTTTTTATATAAATTTTGAAGTTTACTTGAGCCGTTCATTTGTATTTTAGTGAAGAAAGAATTTAAAGGTGGCGAAATTATATTAACATGTTACGTCATTTCAATTGTTGTCGTCATTGATCACGTGATTATATCATGGTAAACGTGGATCAATTCATACCTGTTGTGGATTACATTATGGTTGTCGTTGATTGACATCATCAGCATCATTTGTCGTGGATTTTGTCAAATCAATCTTGGGTTAATTAGTTGAGGATTACGTTCATCTACGAATAAAAACTAAAGACGACGTTTCAGGTTTGTGGTGTTTTAGTTAAAATCCTGGTGACCTGCACTAACAGAAAGATGATTGAACATTACCGAGTTATATAACAAAGTCAGTTGTTCTTTAGATTCCTGTTGATGTTTGTTTGGAATGTCTGATAGTCGAATTTTCGCAAGTTTTTTTTTATCTTTTGATCACCAGGATACACGATCCTAAGTTCAATGAAATAAGCATGGGTTTCTTTCAGCTTTGGACGTGTGTATTTGTATATTCGTTCATGAGATTCATAATTTCCATAGCTATACATTAAAAAATCTAAATGTACGCTTAAAATATACCGAATCACAGATTGCATGGTACAAAATAGCGTTAAAAATACCCGAAATATAGTATAATCCGAAATGCAAGCTGCATAGTGCAAAATATATTCATTCAAAATTATATAAACGCCTGAAATATTCTTGCTTGATGATGTTTCATTAATAAATTTCGCGTTTTGTGTGAATTTTTAAAATTTTGAACCATGCAAAACATAAAATGGTCACAAACACGGCAAATTAAAAAAAAGCAAGTCACATTTTAGAAAATGTTTTTGAAAAAAATGAGTGATCTGCATCATCAAGTGGAATATGCAACAAAAACTGTCTTTTTGGTCTAATAAACAGCAAAACAGAATAGGTGCATGAAACCCGACATTGCTTTAGCTAAATAGCTGTCAAAATCAATGTTATGACAGTGGTATAACCAGGTTAAATAACTCGTTGTTATTTAACTTGAAGAAAATAAGTCAAAGTACGAAAATAGTTTAATGATTCATGGTATAGTGGGTTAGCTCGTCTTGAAATCAAGTCGAACACTTCATCTATTTTATGCGCAGATGATTTGATAGACAGACGAACTAATTCGATACATTTAGTGTAGTTCCTGGTAGGAATAATCGTAAACGGTGCCAAATTGGTACCTAGGTGGTCGAGTGTTGGACACAAGAAGGATTGGTTGGCACGCCGTTTGGTAATGTATAAGGGCCCAGGGAGGCGGTTTTCCATCCCTTAGGTTCCCTCTCGGCTCGGATACTAACGTTGCTTTACAGGTGTCTCATCGTTCAAAGGTTTGTTTTAATCAGTTTTGTGCAGCGTAGTTGGTAGGTAGATTTTTAAATCGGTTATTTCATGCCACTGATTAACAGGGTTAGCTATAAGGATGCACATAAGCAAAAAATAGCACAGCTGAAAGCGGCCTAAAAATGGCGTTAAGCCGCAGTTTCGGTTTTTTAAGGATGCACATTGCCTAAGTCGCCTCTTTCAACGGAGGATTGCTATGGATCGAGTGCTGGTAGAAGATGTATGTTGAACACTTTCTGCTGAACAAGCATATATTGTGCGCAATGAATAAAATAGGACTATCCTTGTTTTGTAAGTTACAACACAACACATCTTCAATGAAGTAAATCGTCTGTTATTATAAAATATATACATTATCACGAGAATTTTAATCACTACTTGTATGCAAAGATCGCAGGATCAAGACACTCGGCAACATTTTACTCCGCCGACCACAATTTAAATGTTCTGTCGAATGAACTGGACGCTATGTAGTGACCATCTATACATAAAGAAATGGAAGTCAATATCAACATAATTAAAATTAAAAATACGCATAAGTGACAGTTGAGAAAAAAACTATCATGCTGCACATCGTCAAGGAAAATAATAAAGATATGGAAAATAAGTTTTGATTTTACCTGGAGAAAGATCAACACAAGAGACTTTTTGTTCGTGTCCAGCCAAAGTTTTTAACGGTATCCAACCTGGATGTGTCCATACCTTCACTTTACAATCATAAGATCCAGTTAGTAAATATTGATCTACAAAGTAATTGACAATACATAAAATGAATATGTAAAATAAACTTTGCTTGCGGTAAAATAAATGCAATCATATTTTGTTCAATACGAATTTATTGACATTCATATGAAAATAGAAAAGTCCTTCTGTTGTTATAGATCACTAACCATGAAATTTCACGTAAGATATGAGATTCGTATGAGCTGGAATGGTATAAATTGATTTTCGTTTTCGTAAGTCCCATATCATAACTTTTTGATCCTCACTACCAGTAGCTACGTGATATCTATGAAATTTGTTAACATACATAGTGTTAGTTTTCCTTTCTTAAATACAAAGTAATTCAGATTAAAAAGAAGAAAGATAGTTTTTACCCGTTGGGAGCAAAGTCAATAGCCAATACTTTTTGCAGATGACCATCTAATGTCATTACACATTGTCCAGTCCTCAGATCCCATATCAAACCACGCGCATCCAGACCACTGCACACAAAAAACATAAAAATTTAAAGGTGGAACTCGTTGATAACGAACTCAGAGATAATGTGGACGAAACCATCGACCACCCATACTTAGGTAACTGATTCATAATATTTGAATCTTTATACTGACCATGTTCCAGCCAATGATCCATCTGGATGGAAAGAAATGTGGTAAACTTCACGTGAATGTCCTTCCTAGACCATTAAATATATGTTTTCGTTGCTTTTAACATAGAAATGTCAACTATCATGATTATTTATGTGATATGAAAAGGTTAACATGCAAATACCTGATGTAAAACTTCCGTTAACTGATTGAGATCCCACAGTCTCCAGGAATAATCAAAACTATACATACAAAAGCACATTAGCTTGTATAGAGAAGACCTATACGATATAAATATGTAAAATAAATTATACCAACACGTCGCCAAAAATCTTCCTGATGGATGGTAAGCAATTCTGGAAACGCGTTTATCATGACCCTCTATGTTGGCTATTGGTGTCTCACTTGAAGAAAAAAGTAACATATGAAAACTGAAATGATTTTTTCTCATTGGTGTTATATTAAACACTGAACAATAATGGTAACTAACGATTCCAAATTCCATAAACGAACATCTCCGTCTGTACCACACGATGCCATAGATGGTACATTTGTTTCCAAGGAAATGGTGGCTTGTGGGTGAAATACTATAGCTCCTACCCTTGAATTGTGTCCACGTAATGTTTTTATCAATGAACAATCAGGGACAGACCACAGTTTACATAATCCACTCCTTAAAGACATTCGATATAATGGTATAAAAATTGAAATGAAATTTGGTTATGTATTTCACTTACCATGAGCAAGTTGCCAGAATTTTCGAGTTTGGGGAAAATTGACAAAAGGACAAGGGACGGTCATCACCAATTTGACTACAGGAGTTGGTCAAAGCCTGCATAAAAGATAAATCTTGTGACTTTGTCATGATAAATGTCAGCAATGGTGTCAGTTTTTCTTGGAGCAATATCAAAAGGTATTTTATCATTCTGTCCACAATAAGCACGATGATGGTGAATGCCATGAAAGAAGATGTAGATGAAGAAGTTTCACTACTTACTCGTAACTTCTTATGAAGCTCTTGAGTTTTAGCTGCCTTTTCTGCATCAGGTCTTGCATGCAACACTCGAGCTTTCTTCAATCTCTCGTTTGCCCTGAATTCATTACCCTTATATAATTTCATCTTGCAGTATATTTAAGTTGAATATTTTAAAAATAATTATACCGTGATAAAGAAAAGTTTGCAATCCACATTCTTGAAACTTTGAGTTCAGGTGGACCTTCATGATACCAAACCTCTTGTACAACATCATCCTTTATGAAATAAACACAATGAAACGCATGCGCTGATTGGTCTAGAGCTGAGTTTGCATTAGCCAGTGAAAAGCACATCTGAGCTCAACCAATCAAATCAATCTAAACAATGAATCAGTCAAAGAGAATTTGCAAATCAATCATGAATACATTTTAGAGGAAAAATTAAAATGTTTGTCTTTTTTCGCATGATTGTTATTTTATAAAAGAAATAAAAGATGTCTCTCATGTTTGCACAGGCTTATGCAAACATCAAAGACATTTGTGAGAACTGTGGAGCATGTGCAACCCTCGACCCACAGTCTCGGAGTTGCACTGATCAGCTCTCCAGTTCTCCCAAAGGTCTCCTCGGATTGCATAAGCCTGTGTAAACACAATAAACATCTTTTATTCTTAAATATCAACAGACAAGAATGAAAATTGAAGCAACGATCGCCCGGACACTGGTTGATTTAATCATGAGAGAAAGAAAACCTTTTTATCTGGTTTGACATCCACTTCTGAACTTTTTTCAATTTCAACACCTTTGATATAAAGATTTGAAATATGTAATAGTTCACATATAATTTAAAAGAGCTATAAAAAGTTCACCATATTCAGCAATTAGAGCTTTCAATCTATCCCGTCTTTCTGCTGGACCTTCACCAAACAGACCTAGAAGAGAAATATTATTGACGAGACTTTAAAGGAAATACATTAAAAATAACTGCACTACTCAAGACATACAAACATCTCCTTACATATTGGTTCTTCTAGTTCTCGTAATCTTGCCTTTACCTCTACATCATTAGTAGGAACAACAGCTGTACGAGCCTAGTACAATTTTAATGACATAGAGAAAGAACAACAAGTTTTCATGACATTAGCGAATAAAGATAGGAATGTTCAATGTCCAAACCAAACCTTCTTTCGTTTCTCAAAATCAGCCAACAATTGCTGATATCGCTCTGTGTTTTTATCGTCAGATAACTCAAGGACTTGGCCTGAACAACATAACGAGAAAATGAGCTGCAACGAGTCACGTCTTTAACAGTAGATTTAAAATCCTGTCTCACCATCAGAAACATTGATATTTGCATTTTCTGTCTTCTTCAAATGCTCTTTTTCTAACTCTCTGATTGTGTCTTCAAGACTGCCGTAAAATATCCGTTGTTTCTTTATTGCAGGGACATCTATATCATCATCAGACATTTCTGTTTTTAATAATGATAATATTTTGAATTCAAAATATAAAAAAATATAACGATTTATTTACTAAATATACAGTCTTTCATGTTCAAGAGACATTACATTCAGATTACATGCCGTGCGGAGAGATAGGATGCGTCTGCGATGCATCAAGGTCAGCGTGGTGGATAAAATTGCAATTATTCAACTATTGCCATTTATCCCAATGATTTTATTTTAAAATGTTGAAAGATAGGAACATCTGAGATTGACAATATGTACTTATAAGTCGCGTTATGTAGAAACTAGAAAGTCAACAAAATACAATGTACGTGTTTTATAAGTTCATGCTACACAATTTTCTCCACTCCTGAAAAGCAGGTATGAACGGTAACGAATGCTTAGCACAGCACCTTCTTGGACATCCTTTATCTCTTTTAAATCCCATGTCGCACAGTTCAAGCAGTAACATATCTTCAGATAAGCTTGACGCCGAAAACGATCAAGGGAGAAATCAAAATGGCTGTGATGATGGAGATGAGTATCCTGATTTCATGCCTATTCCTTTTGGCTACGCTGCGAGAAATTCAAGAGTTCGGAATGAATTTGAGGTGTTGCAGATGCTTGGAAAAAGGAGTGTTTGCTTCAGGTGTCAATTAAGGTAACTTTCTATCACATACATCGTTCAAATAGACGGTAATTTGGTCATGTGAAGGAAATTTTATACTTGATTTGGAAATGCTTTATATATGCTTAGGTACGTACTAAATTATACGGCTGTCTTTATGCGATTAAAAGAATTCCTTTGAATCTTAAAAGTGTGCTGCTTAATCGCAAAATTACTAAATTATTTAATTACATTATCCAAAATGAATCAAAATAATGGTTGAAAGCGAGGTTCACTTTAGACGATAAAAATTGCTTGGCTTATTTAATGTTATCTTTGTGGAAATTATTCAGAAGAGAATGACCAGTGACCATGAAAGATAAATCACTTTCTGCTACCACACTCATATGTCGTCTACATGTCTTTTTAACCACTCAATAGCCTCAATGATCTCGTCAATCGAAACACGACTCAAAAAATTGCATAAAATCTTAAAGAGAAAAGGTGAATGAATTCTTAGTCACACTCCATAACACAGAATATTTTACCACATTAAGATAACGTCAACGTACTTGTTTGTCAACAGGAATATTTTCTTGATTTAGAAATCCACTATATTGTTGATTATTAAATTCAAAAAACAGTGAACAAATCTCCTTTTCAAACCAACTAAACAAAAAAAATGCCATTAGGTTATTTCATATTCGTACAACATCTGCATTTTGCAACACTTTACTGCCTTTGCAACCAATTTTTTATATTGTACACAATATTGAAACTTACTCTTTCACAAAAACACGCAATACACTGGCTTTGTTGTATGCACAACGAAACAAGTTAGGTGCCCACAGTTGTATTTGAATAACCGTAGCTGCTACTGAGGGAGAAGGTCTATCATTCGGATGTCGTTGCAAAAGATTTTTTACAAGAATTTGAACAGATTTCGGAGCACTAGTTAAAAAGTAATGACACCATAACTTTAAATACGACAAATGTGAAATGCTAAAATCTAATAACAATAGACATTACTTTTTCAACAAGGGCAAATCCTTGATGTCATATTTATTCGCCACCTTATTTGCAAACGGGTTACTTTCTCCGAATATATCGTATGCCAAAGTTGCTGCAGCCCATTCTATGAGAAGGAAAAGATAAAAAATATTAATACTTTGATTAAAAACTTTAACTCTATTCAAACCTGACCATCTGCTTTACTGTAATCAATTTTGCTATCAGGCCCAGCCTCGGCAGATTCAACCTAAAGAAAAGTTTGCATGCTGTGTTTAAATGATATGGTTTAAGTATTTAAAAATTTTATTGAGATACCTCGGGAGCCATCAACATGGAATTCCCACCTTTACAGGTTTCATCCGTAACGTAAGGCATTATTAAACCGTGATCTTTCTCAGCAAAACAACAATCAAAGTCTGTGATGACAAGATGATGAAAATCCCCTTCACCTTCATTCACAAGAATGTTATCAATTTTCAAGTCACGATGAGCGACTTTATGTTCGTTCAAATGACGAATTCCTTCGACTAGTTGAGCAAATAACGCCAAGCGTGATTTTAATGAAAGATTATTGTCATGTTTCTTGATGAAATCTTCAAGAGTTCCTGAAAACCTGCAAAATTAAGTGTGAAATAACAACTAAAAACATCATTTGAGATGTTGTTAGACAACAAAATACTCATTTACTTTTTCTAATGTTTTACAAGTTACGTCAAATAGTTTGTTCGTTTTTAAATCAACGCCATGCTCCACTTTCAACATTTGTGTCATTTCAAACATTATAGCTATACAAACTTCAATAAACAGTTGCAGAGAGAAGGCAACTTTTATATTTTACTTTGTCTTATATAATTAAATAATATTTATAGAAGATGTAACATAGTACAACTTCCTTAATTTGTAAGGACATCTTTCAAGGCTGTTTTCTAGACATTTGAAAGTATGTACAAAAAACTTTGATGGTATGCTGACACACCTTGGCATAACATAATACATTGTTCTGTTATGTCCACATCCATATTTATGACGACTAGGAGGAAGAGCTGCAGGATAGTCTTTTACTGAGTCTGGACATACTAGCATATTGTCATTAAAATAATTCAAAATTCTCATCACATTGAAATGAGGTGGTAGCCGAGTATATTTTGACATGCCTTGATAAAGAAAATATGTTTTTTTCAACATAAATAGTGATCATTGAGAAAAGCAAAGTAAAAAATGATATTGCACCTTCAACATTCTCAACATCAATGTCAGATATGACAGCAAGCTCTTTAGAAAAGGCCTGAATTGAAACATTTTGTTTTCTTTACTGTCATGTGAGTGCACAAAATACTTCAATGTAATTAGTCTTACTTTCAACAATGATATACTATTGGAATTGGCATGATAATTGAACAACATTTTGATGGCACACTGAAATAGAACATTCATTATCTTCATATAATCAACCACTTGAAAATTTAAGTAAAAAAAATATCACTTTATATGCAATAAGCAGCAGTAAGAATTTTCTTAAAACCTTGTTGTTGTCAATTTTAGCTTCATAAACTGCAGACTGGCTAGATGGCTTTCCAAGACGTCTATCACAATTGATCACATAATCACTAAAGCTCTTTTCACTGTGAATGGATGATTCTTCAGGAATACTCTACATAAACAGTAGAATTGTGAAACAAAGCATGGTATCTATTATATAATGGGTAAAAAATTTCAACTTCTCAACCTTAAATGAAGTTTTCAAAAATTCTTGTAACAAATGCTTTGTTGAGGATACACATGATCCTGTTTCTGGTGCTTGGTCCTCATTTAAACCTCAAAGTATGTTTTGAAAAGGGAAATGAATCATAAAAAAAGTATAAAAGAAAACAAATACTCTCCACTCACTACAAAAGCCTAATCCAAAAATCAAGGAAATTGGCTTTCGTCGATTTCCAATCAAACTTTGGACAGTATTACCTATACATATGTACAAGAAAAATTGAAAATCCCTCAATGTCCACAAATAAGCACTAATTTCTGAGAATTATTCTCACCATATCGAAAACGAGCAGTTTTACAGTTCTGTCAATCCATTGCGCAAATAAGAAATTTCTAACATTTTGAGAATGTCTTTCGCAATGAATTACACGAGGAACAACGGCAATTGAAGGCAATCGGGAAGGAGACGAGGAAACAGCTGTTTTAAGAAAACTCGTGACGTTTTGTATCAAGAATATTTATCAACTTGACAGTCATATGCTTGTAATAGAGCATACCTTGTGCTAAAGCGCGTCCTATAAAACGCAACAAGCGGCTGAACATGGCTTTTGAAACAGATTACATTTCTAGATATCTTGCAAAATAAATGAATTTCTGGTTGAAACTTTCATATTTCAATAATTTTATCGATTTGATATACCACGATATTATGACATAATGCTTTAAGAACGACACAGCAGGCCCAAGCCAAAACATTACAAAAACCAATAAAAACTAAGCGTATTTGGGCATAACAAAACATAAGAAGATTTTGTACAATTATTTTTCCCAGACTAAGCTATATTTTACTATCTAAATAAGAAAAATCTCGAGGCTGAAGGCAGTTTGCCATTGCCAACTAAAGCTTTTTGAATGTCTTGAAGTGATGGCATTTTTCTCAAATCTCCAAAGGCAGCAACTGCTGGTTTGGATTCTAAAAGTCTCTCTGAGATTCTCTTCATGTCTTGGATTGTCACTAACTCTGGAAACACAAAAAATATTGTTGCATTTCATCCCTTCCTCCATTTAGTCAGTAGAAAACTCACCAATTTTTTCATACAATTCTTGGGCAGAATTTCTAATGCCAAGACCTAATATTTGTCTAAAATAAATGAACACAACAATGAAAACAAAAAAAAACTTTCTACTTTCCAAACATTCCTTTCAAAGAATTTGTTTTTGCAAATTGTTCTCAAAATCACATTATAACCTTCCTATATCTTCAAACATGACAATACGTGACTCCAAGTTCATCATCAACATGGACTGAAGCTGTTTCTTAGCCCGAGAGACTTCTTCCTGCTCATCAAAAAAATGTTTGACTAATACTGATCCACCAGAGTGCATTTCATTTAGCCCATGCCAAACATTGTTGGTATGGACTAACTTTCAATTTTATAAAAGAACTTGTGATAAAAATTAGGATATCATTTGTATGGCATTTCACATGAAATGCTTTTAGGTTGTTCTAATTAATGAATGCAAAAACAACACCTTACATCTGTAAATTCTCCTTGTGTCAAGTTAACATATTCATTCAAAAGGACTTGGAAAAGATTGGAAATCTATAAAAAACATAAAACTGATGAGGTTAAAAATGTGAGGAGTAAAGGATCATCTTGAAATACCTGACTTGGATGGGAGCTAGCGTTGATACAAAATATTCCACTGTCAATATAACTGTGATTAAATGCTGTACATGAATTGATCCAATGGTAACGGTTGAGCACATTTAAATATAATCTTGAATACATCCCTTTCCCAGGTCCCCCAGCTGAGAATGATCCACCTCCACCCATCAATGCATTTAGAACAGCAAAGGCAAAGAAATCAGGGTCCTTAAAAGATACACTTTCCAAGCCTAAGGAGACATGGGCTAAATCAGGTAGAGGTGTTGGACCCATGTTGACCTGTGGTGTACTACGATGATCCTACATAAATAAGTATAATATAAGTTGGTATGAACTGTGAAGGTATATATAATCTCAAAGTAATGCACCATCTTACACAAATTATTCCTCCAGTAAACTGAGCTGTAGATTTATCAGCAAGTTCTTTACAACTATTTCCCCATGTTGTGTTCCCATTTACAACAAAATATTTCTTTGCAAGATCAACAATTATATTGTGATCAACATTCACTGCGGCGATAACCATTCTTGCAGGATCAAAATATTTTGACATGTAGTCTTTTATGACTGATGCATTTATCTTCTCTAGATTTTCTTTAGGACAAAGCTTATAAAGACCTAGAGTGTTGTTACGATAACCTGCCTAAAGTGCAATACATATAATGGCTTGATTGAGGAAATGATTTGAAAAAAAAGAAATCAAACTCACAGCATGAATTAGGTCTGTCAATAGTGGTTCTGGATCTGGACTTAATTCCAAGTTTTCCAGTTCAAATTCAACCACCTCTTTTTGCAGTGAAACCTTCAATGATACAGACAACAAAGAACTTCAGTTGAACAAATAAAAAAAATGTTTTGTAGCATCCATCAAATTCCTTACAAGCTCATCGTCAATGGTTTGTCGAAATATTCCATCTGAAAGAATGTTCATGACTGTTTCAAGGCCTTCTGTAAATGTTGATGTAGCATACACTATGGCATCTCTAAAATTGAAGTAAAAAATCAAAATCTTTGTTAAGCATTCAACGATGAAAAAGAAAGACTTATACCTAAATGATTGACAATCAGCATTTCCTCCATGTTTTTCCAGTTCATTTAGGATATCATCATTACACTTGAACTGCTCCGTACTCTGAATAATGAAATGTTAAAAACTGAGTAAAAAATCTCCGACCATACACAACTTTCTCCCTCTCCCAACCAAAGATATTACCTTAAAAGCCATTTTCTCAATGACATGGGAAACACCACAAGGATGATCAACTTCATAGCGTGAACCAGCATCAATAAGTACTAAATGCATTCATAAAACATGATGAAATCTTCATAAAGATGTACCATCAGGACCAAACCTCACTCTTCTACCAAATAATTATCATTATTTTACCTCCAACTGTTGAGAACTGTCCAAATGATTCCTCTGATGCAACTTTTAGACCATTCTCTAATATCGTTATTCTTGTTTCGTAAGCTTCTCCATTCAATATAACTGGAGAGATACCCTGGGGTTGTGACCCCACATGTAGCGGCTCGTTGAGGGGTATTTTATCCCTAGAACTCTTACAATAAAATTTTTTGTTATAATAAGAAATTTGCTTCTTATAAAAGGCCTTTATCACTGATGGTCGACAAACTTCATGAAAGTAATTCAAACCGAAACGTCGAGAGTATACAGCCATTTCGTCTTTATCTACATATGTGTGAGAAAAATAGTGATCTCAACATTTATTCCAGTTGAAATGATAGAGATCAAATTTGTTGGGAGCGCTAAGCACTATGGATGTGATGTCTGTCATCCGGGTCTTTCTCTCCTCGTTTTACAACTTTCGAACGTTTTCTTGTCAAAACTGTGTGAAATTTTGGTGTATTTTTGCTCCAAATTTCGCTTAAACGCCGTGGAAAAGTGTAGTGTGTTATGAGCATTAGTAACTTCAACTATCCCTACTGCCATGAAGTTACAAAATACGAGAAACTGCTCAAAATTGGTCAAGGAACGTTTGGGTAAGACACTAGCATTTCCGTTGGGACTTCTGTAAAGCGATAATGAACTCAAGTTCTATAAAACGTGATAAAGCGATCCCTGTCCCGCCCATGATGGCTTCATTGTGTCATAACACTTCTTAAGAAGTAGTGTCAGTTGTGTCACATATTGATCAATCTAGATGTGATACATTTTGTAATCGTCGCTGCCAAATTGAGTTATGAAATACGAATTTACCTCAACGACAAAATCTTACACGACAGATCAAAAAATTTGGTTTCTGCATCAAGATTGTTGTAACATGTCGTTTTATTTTTTCAAAATAAATGTAGATTGGATGCATTCTTCAGAAACAACAATCTTCATGTGCAGAAATTTGTCATATAATTACGCAATTTATTTCTAAGCCATATGTATGCCATTGAAGAAATACAACTTTCTAGTATGGGAAGGCATGTTAAATTCTTTTACATCTATTTTCCTACATCACACCAGAGTAGGTGTAATGTAGGAAAATAGATCTAAAGAAATTCACAAATATTTGATGTTAGAAAGTCATGGCATGTTGATTTCACAAGATTTCTTAGCAAATGCTTGAATTCTCTACACAAACACAACTCCAAGGCCCCCAAAGATTTCAAAACATTTCATAAATGTTCGGAAAAACAAGCTGATTAAACAAACAAACCTTAAAGACTTTTTAAATGATCAATGTTAGTTATACATTGTTCAAAAACATTTTATTGACTCTTCATTCGCTAAAGTATGAGTCAACTGCTGATGTGCACAAACAAAAATTTTTAATTTTTAAAATAATGTATAGTTTTATGTACTTGTATACTCTGAATGAATAGTTTTTACTTGAAATATTAAGACTGTCTGAACAAAACATTGAAAATAATTGCAAGAACAAGGATTAATGTATGATAATCTTAATGATAATAAAATTTTTCATATGTGCAAAACCATTTTTGCACATATTAGGCAAAGAGTATTTTTGATTTTTAAAAATTATCCAAATCCACCATTTTCTCTCATGATCAAAGAAATTGTTCATAAAGACTTCTTGTTAAGCAGATACTTTGGATATAAGAATTAAAAAAATTTTGATTTTTGAGTTGATTGCAAAAATAAATCTTGAAACTTGATGTGCAGACTATGATTCAATATTTTCATTTCTTTGTGATGTTTATTTTTGTGCAGTGAGGTGTTCAAAGCACAGGAGAAGAAAGGATCACGACGTCTTGTTGCACTCAAGAAGGTGATGATGGATAATGAGAAAGAAGGGGTATAAATATTTCCTACTTTAAGCAATGTTTTCTGATGTGATTGCCCGGTGAACTAAAGAGGTGTTTCTCACACTCCGTTAGTTTCCAATCACAGCTCTGCGAGAGATAAAAATTCTCCAGCTACTAAATCATGAAAACATTGTGAATCTCATTGAAATATGCCGCACCAAAGGTAAGAATTTCCTTGGTCAATATTCTTAACGTTCGCTGTTAATTATTTCTGTGTCTAACCTCATTAAATTTTGCAGCATATCCTTATAATCGCGATAAAGCAAGCATTTATTTGGTGCTGGAGTTTTGTGAGCACGATTTAGCCGGGTTGCTTAGCAACCATCAGGTGAAATTTGGCCTTGGCGAGATCAAGATGATAGCTCAGATGTTGATGAATGCATTATACTTCATTCATAGCAATAAAATACTTCATCGTGACATGAAGGCTTCAAATGTATTAATAACTAAGGCAGGTGTATTAAAACTGGCTGATTTTGGTCTAGCAAGAGCCATTCATATCAGTGAAGAAAAGCAAAGATACACCAATAGAGTGGTTACTCTTTGGTGTCGACCTCCCGAATTGTTGTTGGGTGAACGTGATTATGGTCCTCCCATTGATATTTGGGGTGCAGGATGTATCATTGCCGAGATGTGGACACGTACGCCTATCATGCAAGGAAGTGCAGAACAACATCAGTTGACCTTGATTAGTCACTTGTGTGGTTCCATTTCAACAGAAGTGTGGCCAGGTGTTGAACAGTTAGAGCTGTATGAAAAAATGACTTTACCTAAAGGTTTGAAACGCCGTGTAAAGGAGAGATTAAAGAGTTATGTTGGTGATTCACATGCACTTGATCTCATTGACAAGATGCTTCAACTTGATCCTAAACAAAGGCTGGATAGTGATTCAGCTTTAAATCATGATTTCTTTTGGACAGATCCAATGCCCTGTGATATATCTCGTACACTTGCTCGTCATAATACATCCATGTTTGAGTTTCTAGCTCCACCACGCAGAGCTGGTGCAGTGCCTGTGCCTAACAGGCAACGTGGTGGTACAGGTCAGCAAAATATGTCACAAGCTAATTCATATGCTGATCGTGTGTTTTAATGTAAATTGTGCTGTAAAATTTGCCAATTTTGAGCATCTTTGTGGTTCTACAAATAATTAAACCATTGTGGTTTTGAAGAATAGGTTGTTTTCTAGAAAATAGCTAGCTAATTTTGAATGTGATACAAATGCATTTCATAAGATAAAAAGTCAAATAATGAATGAAACCATAGACAAGTTTTCATAGCACATCGCACTTTGTACTGTACGTATCGGGTGATCTGTTGAGTTTTGTTCTTATTTTATATTTAAATACAATGACTAAATTAATATTGATAAAATAAAACTTTCATGAAAACTTTTAAGAAAATATCGTGTCCGTTGACAGATTTATCAGTATGTAGCTGTTTTCTATTTGAATATTTATTCCTTGTAATTAAAGGAACTTTGGCAAAGATGTGTATTTCGCTGTAGAATTTTAATAATTAAATCAGAAATAAATTTTGCTACTAAAGCATTATTGTATTGTATGAAATGTTTATCAAAATACATATCTTTTTCACCATAACAGCCCACAAAATGTAAAATGAACCCGTCGTATTATTTGTATAAAATCACATGAGTTAAACCTAGTTAGACTTTGATTTCACATTCAAAATGGCTTCAAATCAAATGGGACTGTGGCTAATATCGTGTTGTCCAACTACATTATGTATATACCTTGTGTCATTTCTTTTGGTAGGATTCACATTGTCATCTCGTTTTAGATATTACATCAGATTTTCATGTCTGATTTTATACTATTTTTTGATGAGTTTTGTTATTATTCTCATGACAATGTTCACGCCGGGATCAAGGAATAACATATACAAAATCAGTAAAGTGGTTCGTTGGACAGATATCATATGGGGAATCAAATATAATATTAATGGAATAGAAAATTTTAAGGAAGGACAAAACTACGTAATTGTGTCGAACCATCAAAGCATGTTTGACATGAACATTGTGCTTAATTTAGCACCGAAAAGGACAGCTTGTGTGGCAAAAAGAGATATTCTATACATTCCCGTTGTGGGGTTCATGTTTTGGTTGATGGGTATGTTTTTAATCAACAGAAAAAACCATGATAAAGCAGTCGATATGTTAAATGCTGCTGCAGAAGCGATGAAAAGAGAAAAGGTGTGTGTTGCTAAGTTGATTATTTTAGAAGTTTGGTGTAGGTATCTAGTTTTTCTTTCTTTTCAGTTCAATGTACTGATTTTTCCTGAAGGAACGAGGCATCAGGGGAAACATTTGCTTCCGTTTAAAAAAGGGGCATTTCATCTTGCACAGCAAACTCAGGTATGCAATTTTGCATAGTTTCTCAATATCTATGGTGTTGAGGTACATTGCACTTTCAATGTACATTGCGCATTTGTATTTTCAGTTTTCCATATTACCTATTGTGATTTCAAATTATGAAGACATCATTCATTTTGGAAAGTGCAGATTCTCAGCTGGTGAATTATTCCATCAATAGTTGCTTTTATACTGGTGGGAAATTTCTTGATGTTATTTATTTTCTTCTAGGTACAATAAATATTACAATTCTGCCCGAGGTAACAACTGTTGGCCTAAAACCTGATGATGTTCCCAACTTGACACAAAGGGTTCATTCAATCATGGAAAATGAATATGAGAAATAAAATTTAGGGCAATGTATGGGTAATGTGTTCTGTAATATAATATAATTTACCATCGAGTTTTGAATATATTTTCCAAATTATACATAGATTTTATTAATTATTTTTTTGTGACAATCATTCAATACGCATTTTATGTTCTTGGTTTGCAGTTCTCAATACAAATATATTTGATATTTAATGGTGGTTTTTGTCCATCTTTTATGATCATAATCTTCTCTTTCTTCAAAGTACAATTATCTACATTTTTGTTGATTTTCCTTCAACTCAGGTCATTCTAAACCCCAATAGACAACTTAGCATTAAGTTTTTGCAAAGTCATAACTTGTGTTGTTATGTTATTTGCATTTTCAAATACATTCTCCTCGTAAACTAACAAATCTTGTAGGTAGAAAAAATTTCTAGACTGATTATTATCTTTGCTTTTCTGAGCTTCCATCAGTTGTTTTACTAAACAAATGATCCTTTCCATGTCATTCTTGCATAGGAATTCATTGTTGTATTCTACAACTGTCATAAGGAATCTCAATAAAACAGAAGTCAAAAAAGATTCATTTTGCTCTTCTTCTAGACATTGGCTTGCGTCTAACTGTTCCAAAATTGTTTTCACGACATGTTTTATGAGGATTTCTAATTGCTTTATGGCTTTAAATTGTGCATTAGCTAGAAACACAGAGCAGATCTCCATTGCAATAACTAAGTTTCCAGGACAGGCTCCATCTTTACATTGTCGAAGCAATACATTGTTCCATGGATCATTGATCAAGTCCTTGCAAAATTCTTCTAAAGAGAATAACGCTTCCAAGCACTTTAATGCGGAAAGTTTCATAAAGTTATTGACATGTGTCATTGAGTTTTGAGCTGAAACAAGAATCATCCTCAACTGAGACAGGCTAATTGCTGGTCCATCGTTGGTTCCATGATCGCCAGAAATTAACGTAAAGTTAAACGAGTTAAATAACTGAGACGAACTATACGTTTTCAAAACATTTCTCCAGAAGATAGTGGAAGTGAACTGTATCACAACATTGCTGTGAAACAATAATGGTAGAACAGAATTTATATCTACCACAACTCTAATCTTCGTTGTAATACCATGAATGTTCTGTAACCGTAGTAGACAAGTGATAGCAATCAATGCTGCAGCTAATGAGGAGATTTTCTCAAAGCGATTTAGTTCACTTGATTTGTGGAAAACGTTAATAACGTTGCCAAGAAAAAAGTTGTACTCATTGTGATTTAAAACAAACGAAAGTACTTTTTCAGAACCGAAGCTTGAATCCGTGACGACACAAGCGTTGACGAAATTTATACAACGAACTTGTATTTGTGAAGAATGATCTTTCTGCACGAGAAAGTTTATAACGTGATATAATAACTTCATATAATCGTCATCTAGAGGGCTACACGTGCTATTTGTAACGAGCAAGGTTAGAAACTTTAACACGCTCAAGATATTCATCTTTGGAAATGATTCTACGGCTTGTGTAATGAATATTTTCTGCAAGGCTTGCTTCAGTTGTGCTAGTGTAGAATGTACAGTATCAAGGTTACACTTTTGAAGTATTTCGTGGATAACCTTCAATATTTTCTCTTGACCATTGGCATCAGTTGTGCCAAGAAGAGCCACTAACATTAGCAAAATCTTCGAGTTTTCTTTCATAAGTCTTGTCCAAAAAAAAATCTCATTATCGTCAACGTCGTCTCTCTGAACAAACCATAATTCCAATATTCCTTTTCTAAGTTCAGAATCAACATCAGGGAATAGAAGTATCCATTCCAGTAAGTTGAAATCGTGAAAATACAGGAAACCTAGATCACTAACATTTGCAATCATTCCTTCAGCCAGAATTTTTTGTGCTTTCACTGCAATTGAAGTGTCACTTTTTTCTGTCGACATTTCTCTTATGTATAACTGCGTCAAACATCGTTTCAGTTGTTTGTCACAACGACAATAACTCGTTGGATTGACAATCAAGAATATATTCAAGGCGTGTAACAATTTTGTAGAAGAAACAAGACGATCGCCATGAATAAAGGCTATGTAGAAAATTATAATTATGCACTCCTGAGTGGATCGAAGCTGTTCATCTTTTGATGAATTCTGCTTTAAAATCTCCAGCAATTCTTCTATCGTACCATTCATCCCGGTTAAAGATACCAATATTTTATTTGTGTAATCGCTGGAGTCATTTTTCAGAAGATGACTGCACGACATCATCAAAAACTCGTTTACACAACCCTGTTTCGAAGAAAACTCTTTCTTCATGTGGGCTTTGGTTTCAAGTGCTATCCTCACAAAACAGGAGGAAACAAACTTCTGAATCATTTTGTCTGAACACTCAGGTGAAGCCAGCAAAAGTCTATTTAACATGTCGAAAAATAATGCAGGAATTTCCGTATCATAAAAACTTTTTATGCTGGATATGATGTTTGGAATGCAAACTTGGTCACACATTTGTAGTATATTGGTAGAAAATTTCTTAATGTTCTGTAATATGCATTCTTCAATGGACGCCAGTTTCACTTCAACAGAAGATGGCTGTTTTCTTGCACTCATTATTAAATCTAGGGACTTGATGATAACTTGAATGATGGAGATAATGAGAGATAACTTCCAACCTAAATCATTTAGAAAATCATTTATGTAAAATACTTGCAGTTTTACTTCACATTGCTATGATGAATCTCAGTGGCTCTAACCTTTATTCTCTACACGACTCCATTGCTCATTATTTTCACCAAATATGGTTTCAAGTTTTCGACCAGTAAGATCGACGAGTCCTCGTAGTTCATCATAAGGCAACTCACATCTATAATGTCTTCTATCCAGTATTATTTCCAAACATTTTGTAGCATGCAATGCAACTGTGTCGTCAAAGTTGATCAAACCAATCTTTATTACATCTACACATTTCATAAATTTATCTTGGTTATAAATCAACTGCAACTCACGAGGACTGTTCTCAAAAATCTTCCTCAGAACTGCATAACCTTCTTTTAGCATTTCAAAGTTCTTAGTTTCAGCCGTTGTCCACAACACAGAAATTAAAGTATCAAAACCATAGACCACGTGACCTTTAGAGTACATCTCCGTAAAATCTAATAAACTTGAGATGGTTTTCAAACCTAGCACAACTAATGCATCGCTTTTTGACGAAAAAACCTCAAAAATGAAACATGTTAGATCACTATTGATAACTGTTTCATCTATCTCCAGTAAAGCGTTAGTACAATGTACTGCAATTGTTTGTACGAGTTCTACAGGCGATAGTAATGCTTTCTTAAGACACGTCAAAATTTTATCTTTGTTGCATGTTATTGCTTTAGATAAATTAACAAAGTTTTCTTTCTTCGTGAGACTTCGAAGAAAAGCAATAGAATTGATTTGCAGTTTTTCTGAGACAGCAGTCAGCAGTACATCACAACAATCACGGAGAACCATTTCAGTAGTTTCCAATGGAGTTTTCATGCAACATGTTTCATTACGATACAAATGAGTTAGAATGAAGAATAATGAACTTCTGACTATTTCGTCAGGGTATGATGTCCATTTTCCAAGAAAACTGACAACATCATGATGTATTATCGTCTCAGTTAAACCAGGGATGCTTTGCAAAAGTTTACCTAACAGATCCAAATGTGCAGTAACTTTGAGGACGTTTTGAGCTGTAGTCAGAGTTGCAATTATTTTATCAACGACAGTGTTGACGAAAGCTTCTGATTTTAATGTGAAGCAAAGTTGGTGAATTATTTCAACTGCGAACGAAACCTGTGAAGCCGTTGTATTTTGCGGTTCAAGTATTTCCCAAAGGCATGATAACAAATGCTTTAAAATCTTTTCGTTACCCAATAAAATTTCCAAAAATTCTCCGTTTTTGATGAGTTTCAACATTTCTTGGAGTGTCTGAGTTTTTCGAATAGAAGGTTCATTTTTCTCTTCTATTATTTCAACAAGACATGCAAAACAGACTAACACAAAGTGATCACCTTTTCGTAGCCAAAATTTATCGTGATTTGAATGATTTACTGTGAAGAATGACAAACATCCAGTGTTGGAATTCATTTTTGAAATATCTATAGAAGTAAAAAGCAAAAAAGTTTCACTTTTTTGGAAGCGCAGGAAGAAAAAAAACACGTACATCGAGATATGTCGCCATTGTACTGTACCATGTTTACCTAAAATCACATAAAGTAATGCTTTCTTTTCTTAACTTACCTTGAATCAATAAAATAGGACGAAAACCGGGGATAAAAATTTACTTTGAAAATGAAAAACGCCTTCTTGTCACTTGTGTGATGTTGTGTAAACGATGGCCTGCGTTTATCTGGTCAGCGGCAAAATGACTTTCTACAGTTTAGCGCTTTCGTTTTGTTGTCACGTTGTTATCATAAATTTCGTTTTTGTTTCAACTTCTTTTTATGAAAATGAGTGAAGTATTTCGCTGTATATTTGGTCCTCGTTTGTATAGAACATTTTTGGATAATGGCAGACAGGTAGGTAAATTGTTAGTGATAAATTACTTATCATTGAACATGTTTTGGTTATCATTACTTCATGTCTTTTAAACCAATTTAATGGTTATATATACTTGTACTTGTAGCTAAAGAGCAAAATTGACTTTTTACTTTTTAGTACCGGTTTTATGAGCCCCAAACTTCGGAAAGATGTGCAGATAGAGTCCTTGATGTGGTAAAATAATGTTTTGGTAAAAATATTTGATGATCATGATAAACTCATGACAATCCTGTTTATGCATTCCCCGACAAATTTCATTCCAAGACTTTTTTAAGGCTTCCTACATGTATTCTCTATCTTTCATTGCCTCTCCTGTCATTGGATATTTCATGATAAACAGAGGTATTAATCGTATTATCATATTCATAAATTGACTTGAGTCAAAGAAAAATAGGCAATGAAACTTTACCAATACATTAAATGATACTTCAGGATTGCTCTCCTTGGCTGGTGCTCAAAGTCTTGCTAAATTTGGGATAACGTGTTTCATTATACTGGCTAGTTCATATTGTTTTAGAGGTATGACTTTGTAAGTTTTGTTTACTGAGCTAAGATTTCAGTTTGTGATGTTTCCTGTTTTATATTTTCATCATGGACATGCTTAGGTTATGGACGTTTTACAAATGCTGAATATAAAAAATTTTTGAAGATTTTACTGAATACTAAGAAACCAGAATCAAAACATACTGCTCGAGTAAGGAGTTTATTATTCACATTCCTTTGTGTTTTGATTTTAAATATGTATTAAAATGTTCATTCTGTAGCAACAACTGGCTCTCTATGACTTTGAATTTTCTTCTTGGCCCGTAGACTTTTACTGGAATGAAACAGAGGATACTCTAGACAGAAAGAAGTTTAATAACATCTATAATAACTCTGATGGATCATTTAATTTATTTCAATATATTTTTACTTTACCTCTGAAAATAGCCAGGTGTTTAAATTCTTCACTTTTTTTCCTATGTTTCAATAATCTTTGCCTGTCATAAGGTCTACATATATCAAATGTTTTAGTTATTGAAAATTTAGTGTCTGTTGTTATTCCAACTATTGGCAATACATACCATGTTGTTGCCATAAGCAACAGCCGTACATTCTTTGTTGCCATAACCAGTGTGCCAATTAACGGTGTGCAATGTGCAATTTGCACATCGTTTTAGCTAAAATGAAAACAATTGCATGTCACTTTTTCAAATGATGTGCAAAAATCAGTGGTTTTAACGAAAAACCCTGTTGTAAATCTTATGAATTTGTTCACGTTTAAAAATATATAATAATTAACGTAATATCGATTTGATTATGCCTCTAAAGAAACACTTTTGTCAAAAAAATTGTACATCGTTTTTTCTGAACTAATTCGCACACTGGCCATAAGCAATAGCAGCAATACATATCTAGCATGTTGCTGTTATAACCAATGAGAATTCTTATGATATTTTTTCAGATATGTTGTGGCTCATTATTTTGCGCGACCTCTTATCTACCCTGGTTCAATAAAAATGCTTCAAAATGCCATGGGTTGGTGTGTAGTCACTTTTTTTTTTTTTCATCATTCATATAATCTCTTGTCATTTATTTAGCACCAGCATTGAACGATGGAAGATCCAAATTAATTGCAAAGGTAGTAGAACATATAATTATATTTTTAGAATGGCACTCAATATTAATTTTAGATTTTTGATAAATTACAAAAATGAAGGGTGGATGGAGAGCAAAGCTAAAAGCTGAAGATGGTAATGAAATTGATTCAATGTTCATTGATAATCGATCAAATGATCATGGAAATGGTCAAATACTGGTGAGAAGCACATTGAAAATAGACAAAATCTTCTGCAGATATCACACAATGATATCATATTTTTATATTTTAGGTAATTGGTTGTGAAGGAAATGCTGCTTTCTATGAAGTAGGAACGATAGAAACTCCACTTAATGGTAACAGTCTTATGGTAAACCTTCCTTATGCCACATTATAATCATGTCCATTGATCATTTCTTACAGATGGATATTCTGTTCTTGGTTGGAATCATCCTGGTTTTGCTGGCAGCAGTGGTTTACCTTATCCTATTGCAGAACAAAATGCTATTGATGTTGTTATGAAATATGCCATGAATAGACTTGGATTTCCTGTTGAAAATATTGTATTATTTGCTTGGTCCATTGGTAAAATGAATAATACCTTCAACTTTCTAAGGAATACTCATAATGAAGAAATATGTTTACAGGTGGCTATTCTTCATCTTGGCTGGCAATGATGTATCCTGATGTGAAAGCTCTGGTTTGTTCATCTCATTATTGATAAGATATTAATTTTAAATTACTAAAAAACCTTATTCAATTTCTTTAAAGATACTTGATGCAACATTTGACAGAATAACTCCGCTAGCTGTTGAAAGAATGCCTGAGATAATGAGTATGTTCTTATACATCTTAAAATATTACAATATATTTTAATGTTTTAATTGTTGCAAAAGTCTTAATTTTATACAACTGATTTTGAATTGAATAATTTGAACATGGAAGTATTGTTTTTTGTTTGTGATGTAGATCGTCTAGGTTAATGTGTGTGTTGGTGTTGGTTTTGGTGTTGGAGTTGATTTTGGAGTTGATTTTGGTGTTGATTTTGGTATTGATTTTGGTGTTGATTTTGGTGTTGATTTTGGTATTGATTTTGGTTTTGTGTTGGTTTTGATTTTGTTGTTGGTGTTGGTTTTTGTGTTTATTTTGGCGTTAGTGTTGATTTTTGTTTTGTGTTGGTTTTGTGTTGGTTTTGTGTTGGTTTTGTGTTGGTTTTGTGTTGGTTTTGGTGTGATTCAAAACAGTGAATCTAATGTCGAACCTGACGTTAACTTCTCCCTTCACTCTGAAGGTGACTACTGCTAAGGTTGTAGAAACGTCAGTCAACAACACAAACTGTCCTTTTCTTACCTAGACGGCGAACGTGAAACTTTTCTTTAAATATTTGAAAGCTTTAGTTCGTTAGAAGATGTTCTAATTTTGTACAATATTTCATTATTTTACCAATGTTCCATTTTCAGCATCATTTACACAAAGTGTCGTGCACGACTACTTTCCTCTATACAATGACGAACATGTTAAAAGGTAAAAAAGGATCAATGCATTTTAGTGTTTTCTACTTTATAACCTACATCAAATCATTTGTAGATATTCGGGACCAATCCTCCTGTATCGTCGAACAAGAGATGAAATTATCTCCACTGTGTACGTATGAGTATATATTGAAGTTTGAATTTACATTGAATATGTTGTATCTTCATCATATGTTGTATCTTCTCTAGTCCTTATGACATCAAAACTAATCGTGGAAATTTTTTATTAGTGGAATTATTAAAATCAAGGTTTATGCTTGAAATTATTTTATTTCTCTTCGTTAGCATTGTAATTTCTCATTGTTATTACTGGCTTTTTTTGTAGATATCCTAATCTGATTAGCGAATCTACAATTGAGAAGCTGAGCATGTTTTTATCAGCTGAAAATATAATAGCTAAACGTAAGAATGATATATATATACATATCTTCCCTTCATTGTAATCTTATGTAAGAAATTTTAAAATTCACAATATTTATGTTTAATTTGATTTTGTCGCGTGATCAGAGGCTATTATTGCAACTCTGGAAATTAATTACAAGAATTGTGAAATGTTGATGAAAAGTTACCAGGAAGAAAATGGAAAGCAGTTTCCTTGCTTTATTGGTAAAATTTTTTTCTTTCTAAATGATTTGTTATTGGACTACGTGGAATATTACATCATTTCATATAAAATGTTTTTGTCGTTTTAGGAGAAAATTATCATGATGACGATAAAAAGAAAATGTTGATATTTTTGGTAAGTTCGAACGCATTTTAATAACAATGACATGTAGCAAAAACAACGCACTTAAGTCAGTCGAACGTGGTGTCTGCGACAAAAACGTCACATGTCGTAAATGAAAACAATTTTAATGACCTGTTATTGCATACTGTTTTCATGTGACGTACGATAGTGTGTATGTATGTAAAGCAAATTCCAAGACAGAAAATTTAATATAAAAATTACATATTGTTTAGGCATCTCGCTATATGATTGATGTAGATGTCACGCATTGTACGCCTTTACCTAAAGGAACATTTCAGATTCCTGGGGTTGTATAAAACATTTTTTGTTTATCTTTTATGAATAGTTTGATAGTAACCTGTGAAATGACGCGTTTTTATCTGATTGAATATTTAATCGTGGAAACCAATCAAAATCATTTGAATGTTGGCTCACGCTGCCTTATTTAATCGTCGTCGTTTTTTTAGAAATTTATGATGTAAAAGTATAATTTCAAACACGTGCATCTTGACGGTAAAATTATGACAATTTACGTTTGTTTTTACCGTCATGTATTTACGAATGAGCGTTTGTTATGTCATTATTTACGAAGTGGCGTTTGTTTGTTTTGTTGTGATACACTTTGACGTGTCATTTCAGCAATATATTAATTTTCGAATGTATTATCACACGTAGGACTTTAATAACAAATTATGATTTGTTTTCAGATTTTGCAGGTGGTCTGTTGGCTTTATTGAATAAAAATTACAAAAATTTTGCCACGCAGGCGTGAAGAACGTTTTACCCTAATGGCGACATGTGTTAGCTATAATGTGTTTGTAGTTAACGTTTATTTTCGTGAAACAAAGCTTCTTTATTCATTGTTATGGCGTCAATGGTCTGTGCTGGTACTGGTCAATACCTGTAAACATGTTTTGTTTTTGACTAAATACTTTGTCTTGTTACGTGTTATGTAGACGTAATGACACGTGCATCTTATGAGACTATAAATAAACCCCTTCGGACAAACACACAGTCACATTCAGACACACTGTCGTTTGTTTTAAAGCTTAATACTTTATTTTGCTTCTTTGGTACATTTGACTTTCTACTTCAATTATTTTTCCTCGAAATCTTGAATAATGGCTACAGAGTACAGAAATCCCACTGAAATCATCGTGAATCACATCATTTCATCTGCAGATATTCAAAAACGAAATCAAGCATTGTTTGCTGGCGATTTATTGAAGACAATGGATATCACAGCGTGTATTTCAGCTGAAAGACACGCCAAACTGCCTTGTGTAACTCTGATGATGGACGATCTCGTAGTTAGCAAGGATTTATACAAAGGTCAGGTCGTAAATGTCACCGCAAAGTTGACTCGTGCATTTGGCTCCAGCATGGAGGTCGTTGTCGATGTTCATCTCAAGGATATGTTTACAGATGAAGATGTGCAAGTGTGTCAGGCGTATTTCGTGTTTGTGGCCCTGGCTAAAGTTGGTAAAGCCAAACTCACTCATCTTGATCCTGTAACATACGATGAACGTTTAGAATACGCATTGGCTTATGAACGACGTCGATTGAGATACGCCGCAAGAAACGCAGCTAAAGCAAAATCTGCTAAAAAAAATGCTGACTCATCGACTGTGGCAAATTTTGATGCAATTTCTCCTGGTGAGGTCACCATGAAGGATACAGCTGTTGAAAGTACAGAATTGGTTGCACCTAATGACGCCAACCATCATCAAACGACGTTTGGTGGTCAAATCATGGCTTGGTTAGTTTCCTTATGCACCATCTCTGCCACCAAGCTTTGCAAGAAATCGCCCACCATCGTCGAGCTTGATGGTGTGCATTTTCTTGCAAAGTCAGTTGTTGGTGATCGGTTGCTGTTTAAGGCCATGGTCAACAAAACCTTTGATGACAAAACCTTTGAAGTTGGTTGTCGTGTTGAGTCAAGATCACTTGAAGGAAACATTGCGCACATTAACAGTGCTTACATCACCTTTGCCCTCCTTGATGAAAAGAAGCAACCTCTGGATGTGCCTGTTGTCAAGGCTACAACTGCAGATGAGTTGAAACGACAAGGCAATGCCGTTATCAGACGTCAGAATAAGATCGCCAAAGAAAAAATTCTAGGGAAAACTGGTCCTGCTTTGACTGTACCGTGGACGCAAAAAGCAAGTGATATGTTGGCTTTCCACAATGTCTCCGCTGTCAAAAGAATGTATCACATGTCATTCACTGAAATCCAGAAGATATGCGATTGTGAAGTGTCATCACACAAGCAGGATCATATCACGTGTTTCAAAGTGGAAACATCAATTGGTAAACCAGCTGCGGATGTTTTCAAAGCAGTTCAGTTGGAAACACGTGCATGCTGGGATATCATTATTAGCCAGTCGAAGCTTGCGCAGAAGATAGACGAGGACGATAACCTCTATTATGTTATTTTAGCCTCTTCATTTGACGGTGATAAGAGTTCCAGCAAACCTGGCGATTATGTCGTCATGGAATCATTTCGTCCTGCTGTAGAAAAAGATGTTTACGTTGTTGCCTACCGCTCAGTCAGCCTTGAATCATACCCTGAAAGCGATCAGTATAAACGCCAGGCAGATTTAAGTTCTGGCTTTGTGATTTCTCAATCCGCTAGTGATCCCAACCAATCAACGTTAACCTTCGTCTTTCAAGTTACCAATGAAGCGGCTGCTCTTATCTTGCCAAATATTCAGAAGAATATCCAATTTTTTTCTCAACGCATGCAAAAACTTCGCGAATATCTGAAAGTATAACTGAAAAACAATGATAACGTGTTTGAAAAACATTTTAATTCCTTACAGTTTTGTTGTCCCGACCATTGTCGTGACATTGTAGAGTATACCTTAATACCGTGTCTTACACCAAGTAGTCAAATTTTAGAAATGAGTTGTAATTTCACAAAGCGAAATAAAATTATACATTTTTGTTTCTCTGTGAATTTGTTTTTTTGCTCCTGCAAACAATTCAAGTAAAATCATGCTTAGAAGGAAATTGACTAGAATTCAACTTTGTCGTGATGATATAGAAGAATACGACGCCATAAAAAGACAAAACTTGGCAAAAAGTAGAAGGGAACATCAGACCAGCAATTCAATCCCGATAAATGAATTAAAAAAAACTCAAAGTGAACGAGTAGCTGAAGTTCATCGAAGAATTGGATATCAACCAGAAACTGTTCCTGCTGATGGAACTCAAAGGCTTGTTTAAAGATATTTACTTGGTATGTACTTGTTGAATGCGTAATGTACCCCCGTTTTATTTAGTAGTTCGCCATTGTTGACGGGGGTAGACAAGATTTTGGTATAATCACACCTTTCACTTTACTGTTCTTGTCAAAAAAATTTGTTGTGGAAAGTTCACAAGAAATATTACAATCATAAATAAAATATAGAATTTTCATTTATTTTTCCCTTGGCAATATATGGTGATTTATGATTCGAAAGTTTGAATCACCAACACAGATGTTTCAATTCAGTCATAGCTTGCTGTCATTAGTAAATCATATTGCATTTAACTCTACATAATACAAGTAAATTTATACATTTAACTTAGCATGCCCACACTTGTGTTCTTTCAGTGCAGAATTTTCCAGAAAATTCATAATTCTCAATTCTGGTCAAGAATTTTCTTCTATGAGTGCAGAACTTTTAGATGTTTGTCCAGTTATCACGAAAACCTTTTGTGGACTGTTGTCATTGTGTTGTCAATTTTCCTCCTGAAGAACTGTTGCTATTGTGTTGTCAATTTTCTTCTGAAGAACTGTTGCCATTGTGTTGTCAATTTTTCTTCTGAAGAACTGTTGCCATTGTGTTGTCAATTTTCCTCCTGAAGACCGTTCCCATTGTGTTGTCAATTTTCCTCCTGAAGACTGTTCCCATTGTGTTGTCAATTTTCCTCCTGAAGAACTGCTGCTATTGTGTTGTCAATTTTCCTCCTGAAGAACTGTTGCTATTGTGTTGTCAATTTTCCTCCTGAAGAACTGTTGCTATTGTGTTGTCAATTTTCCTCCTGAAGAACTGTTGCTATTGTGTTGTCAATTTTCCTCCTGAAGAACTGCTGCCGTTGTGTTGTCAATTTTCCTCCTGAAGCACTGTTCTTATTGTGTTGTCAATTTTCAGCACTTCCTTATTTAAAACGAGGTACTTTATTTCAATTTTGTTGCTTCATGTTTATATACCTCAAGCATATAAGATGGTTTTCTTTTTTGCAATGGCTTCAATTTTCTTTCAAGAGCACGCGAGTACAGCAAAGACGTTAATGTCATTCTTTGTTGATTTTTTACATCTAAATCCAGCACAAAATCATTATCATCTTCACTGGTGTTGCTATTGGCATCGCTACATTCCAGTGTACTGTCCATATTTTGACCATCTAAAGCTTCATCATCAGCAAAACCACTGTCTTCGTTGCTTTCATAACATTCATCAGCTGTTGTAGTGCTGGATGTATCGTCTTCGTACATATCTGTAAATCTTGACATAGTGATCTGAATAAATAACTGCCAAAACACGCTGAGTTTATTATAAACGATCATTAGTGCTCTCCACATATATATTTGTTTCAAATCTTTTTACATATTCATTTATTCATGCCTGTTTATTCATCGGGAACCTTCGATTATTCTGAAAATGTTGCTAGACGTTTTCGTTGTCAATATTTTGACGTTATGATTATCAATGCGCAATATGCGTTATTGTTCAATTGGCCAAGGCAAGAGTTATCAACTTAAGTATTTACATATCAAATTACAGTTTAGCATCTGACATGAAACGCACGCTGAAAATATTCACACAACAAAACCGCAGTCACGACTGTGTGATTTCAAATCGTGGCCAGAGATTTGCCAGGCGGAAAGCGAATTTTCAATATGAACATAATAGCCCAACATAAGACTTTTAAAAAAGCCATCAAAAGCCATGTGTGATTTCATTTGTGTTTTCCTGACTTATGATACACTCAAAAATAAGCAAGCTATGACTGAAGGAGATAATGAGTATACGACAAGTATATTCAATTTTTAACACGAAAAGGATTGTGTTTAACAGTAGTTTCTAGTAACAGTTTTACAAGGATTGATGTACTATATGAACGACAAACGCTTCTAAACGTTTCCAGCAATTCTCTTTGTTTAAAAAAATCGTACGCCAACGGATGACTTTTTTGTTTTGAGTATTTCTAGTACTTTCTAGTGCCCATTTTTGCTTTTCATTGTGTCGCATATGCTAATTAAGAATGTCAGAAATCTCTTTGATTTATTGAATTCCCCACGACAACATGACGTGTTTTTGTAAAAATTGTGAATGTATTTTCTCATTACTTTTTTTCTTATTTTCATTCAAATTAAATCTATGTGTTAAATCGATGAACGATATATTTTCCTAAAAACATTCCTAATGATTTTCATCAATGATTCAAACTGATCATCAACTGTAAACTTAATTCTAAATAACAATTAAACAACTAAAACTTCTTCATTGTTATTATACACATTTTTCCTAACGTCAATTCCGCTAAACACTCTACTCGTGTCTTCTAATAACATATTAAAAATTGCGTCTGCAACTTGAAATTTGACGTTAGTTTCGTCTTCATCATAATCAGTCCATAATGGTTCTTCTAGGCGAAGTTCTTCAATCAATATTGCATCTACGTTGTCCTTTTTATTCCCGCGTACAGGTGTTTTTCTAGGTATGGTTGCCATGGTGGCTCGAGGCACACCTAACCCAATGATGTTAGTAACCCGTTCAAGGACAATGGTGCGAATTTCTTCATCGCTTTTCCAGCGTTTAAAATTACGGGATAAATTTTTCCCGCCTTTCCATCTGGTCTTTGACCAAGGTGGTTCATTGGTGGGTTCACTCTGCGAAACAATGTCTATCAGAACTTCTTTCGTCAAATCAAACACCAAATCTCTGTAGGACTCTAGTATTACGTTTTCAGTATCTTGACTTTCCCCCCAAAAATGAGCCGGCGGTATACATTCATTCAGCGGTCTTCCAAGGCGTCTTTCGTCGAGCAAAATGTCCACTGTAGAATGGACTATTGGTGATACTTCCTGAATTGTATGTGGCACTGCTAACATGGGCAAAAAATCCGGTGTAGAAGGTTCGTTATCCGAGAGGTTTTCGGAACTAAAGTTTGTGACCATTACCGGCAATTCATCTTCATCATCCAAATCTTCCCCTAAAAGTCCCGCAATGTCCTCATGTATACTTTGTAAAGCATCGTTATCCAAAACTTGATTATTTTTTGCAATCATTAATGCATTATCTATGATCTTCATTTCATCGTCTGGTTGTTCAATCCTAGTCTTATTTTCTTTTGAAATCAAATCCGTGGGCACAGTTATTTCCTTATCTGATAATGATTTATCAATAGGACGCTGTTCTCTTGTCGATTCTATTTGATTGTCATTATCTGCATGTTGCATCATTTTATTCTTTTTACGATATTTTATTTCTAACATTTGCATGATTGCATCATGAAGAAGACCGTTCGTTATGCTGGTTGTATCAACAGACGATGTATCGAATCCTGGCATTAGTTTTTCTTGAAATGGGCTGAAAGTTTCTTTGGGTCGAGATTCATGAAACCTCATCTCGTGTGATTCCTCAATATCCTCATTCATCTCATTTTCACCTTGATAATCAACTGCAATACTTTCTGATTCCTCTTGATTCGTTGTACTGTTTCCTTCCTTCTTGTAGTCACTGATACTTGATTGTTGATTTTTTACATCCTCCACGACATCTGTCTCTTCACATGCACTCGAAATCTCCTCGGCAATTGACAAAACCTCCGATGTACTTTTGTCAGACACAGAATGACGAGAAAGCAAAGAATTCTTTGTCAGTAGTTGAATATCGTCGACAGTAAAATTAATATTTTTATGAAGTGGTGCGGTAGGGTCGTTGAAAGATTGTAACATTTCATCGGAGGTAGTTTTATCTTGCGCAAGAATATTCAAAGCACAAGAATTATTCAAGTTTCTTAACGACAAAGTAGATTCATGAGAAAAAATCTCATCTTGAGGAAGTTGTTTTTCTGGTTTACTATCATTTTCAACAATGACATCATTTTTGACTTCCTCCAGTTCATGTTCATCAAAAAACTCATTGTTTAACGCAGACGAGTTTTCAAAATATTTCTCAATATCTTTGCTTCCAGTTGATAACGACGTTATGCTTTTGTCGTAAGCTTCTTCATTGCTTGTTTCCTTTTTATGAATAAAAAGGCCAACCATCTTTCTTTCCTCGTCATCATTTTCCTTGCTAAAAGATGTTTCTCTGGAAAATTCCATTACATCTTCCGTAAGCGAGGGCTTATCACTTCCTTCTTCGCTCAAATGTTCTGAAATATTTTCTTCTATGGAACTGGTAAAATGCTCCGAAAAAGCGACCTTCTCCTCCTCCGTTACTTCCTTTTCATCTTTATCGAGAAGTTTGGATGTATTTTGAATTCGCTTAGTTGTTTCCTCAACATTTCTTTCATTTTCACTATTTAATTCATCTTCACAATTTGATGAACTATTTGAAGCATCTTTCCCACTTGTTTGTAAAGAATTTTCAAAGGAGTCGTCATCGTAGTAATCTGATCTATGATTTGACTCCAGTTGTTGCGAGGATTTTGACTGTACAACATCATAATCTGAGATAACATTCTCATCCTCTATGGATGTGTACACGTTCTCTGAAACATCTTCTGATATTTCTGAATTTCTGCTAGTATGATCTTGGGTAACCACAGCTATATCATCGGGAATACTCGCCATTGATTTTATAATCTCCTCTGTAACAACGTCAGTTTCACGATGGGATGGTGATTTTTTCTGTGAAAGTGATGTTTGTGAACTTTCCTTCAAGATTTCTTTTGCTGAGGTATTCACAGTGTTTTGTAATGTCATACTTAATATGTTGTTATCGCTACCTAAAGATAAATTATCGTCATTGTTCTCTTGTAATTCTTCTACAATGGATTCTTCAACATCATGAGACTCAATGCGCGCTTCGTTCGTTACAACTGAAGATTTTTCGCACACATTTTCTGTTCTTGGCTCATCTTTTATGAATTCAACTAACGACTCGTGAACCTCGTGTGATTCACAGTTTAATTTTTGCTGGTTTCTCACGATTTCCTCAGAGGAAAGTGTTACATCAATTTTTGCTATAGATTCTTTGATATCTGTAAGTGCAATTGACTCAACGGTCGTCGTTTTGCTCTGGGCTAACTTTCTATGAATATTTTCACGGGTATTCTGCAAATAAATATTTAGCAAGTTAATGAGGAACATCGTCTTTAAACCGTTTCTCTCTACATACTCACCTGTATTTCTATTTCTAATTTTTTAATCTTTTGTTTTTTCCTTTCAAGTGCCTTGGCTTTCTTTTTCTCCCGCTCAATAAGTTCGTTTAAACTTTTTTCAGTTTCTGCCTCGCTTGGTTCAGACGTTTCTAAATATCATCCAAACAGAATATTTAGAACTCTCTGCGTCATTATTTTTGTCGTATTTATAAAACGTGGCAACTTACCTGTCATTGAATTCATCTCCTCGTCAATATGTTGAGAATTTACTGACCGCAGCCCAGTTCGTGCTGTGATATCTTCGTATTCAAACGTAGCGTTTTCGTAATCATTCGCTATTTCATCGTAAAAAGGCTCCGTCTTAATTTCCTCGTTTGTTGACCCAGTCAACTGCTCGGGAATGGATTCATTTCGTGAAATATTCATCGCTTGATCATTTTCCGAGATTTTTGTTTGAGATTGGCCAACTTCGCTGCTTCCTGACTGGTTGTCATGTTGTGGGCTTTCATTTGATTGGTTATTGAGATTATTTAACATTTGGGTGACCTTTTTCAATACATTGTTCACTTCACATTCATCTTTTGCCAACTTTTCTTGACGTTCTAACAACATCTTGTAGATTTTCATTAATTCTCGACTTTGTCTTTCTCCATCTTCTCCGACTGCGTTCACTGATCTGAAAATTTGGGCAAAAGGAACGTCACATAAGAACACAGGAAACTTTTCGCCTTTTGTAAAATCACCGGATGAGGAATATTTTTGTAATATTATTTTCAGCCGTGTGCGTTGATTAATTTTCGATTGCTTTTGTTGAAATATTGAAAGTAATTTAGAAAATTTACATGACAAATAATCACATCTTTATATTCGTTTCAAAAGTGCAAGTGAAAATGATTTGAAATTCATCCATATCTAAAATGATTATAACTTTTTTTACTATGGTGCCAAAAATTTTCAACAAATATTTGCAATAAAAGTGAATTGTAAATGAAACTACTTTTGCCCAGTCTTCCCGTATTGTTAAGTTAAATTCGTATAGTCATGCAACATTTCTTTCCTTCTTTCAATTTTACTGATACAATGACAATATTTCAACAAATTAACACGGTTTTTAAGTCTTAATGACTTTAGGAAAGTTAAATATTTGAACAGTTGACACTTGAGAAACATAAGTTGAAGTAACAAAATGTTAATGCTCGACTGATTTATAACTTACCGTCCGTATGCAGAAAAGTTTAAACACGACGTTTCCATATTCAAGATTTTTACTATTAACGTTTGAGTATATGATGTATATTTTGTCGCTTTATCAAAACGACATATTCAACAATAAACGTTTGCTCCGAAATAATGCCATACATGTTAATGTTTGTTTTGATTGACCAAATAAAATTTGCTTCAGCAAATCATGATTATCTTATGCATTCATTTCACAATATAAAATGTCAAGTATTTGCCATCATTTGCATGTCGAGTGGCCGTATTTAGATGCGCCAAGAACAGTTGAATGCAATACAAAAATTACCAATCAATACGTTAAGTGTATGTATCATTACAAAATCATTTTCTCAACAAGAAAGGTTCATTTCGAAGACTAGAATTCAATTTGTGAATTACGTAATGTTTAAATGTTTAGCTGCAGTTTGTCTTGTGATTTATAAATAATCCGTAGGTGGTACGAATGATTCGAATAAAACCTTGTTTTGATTACGTATAGTGCAAGTCCTTTGCGATAACTCTTGGAAATAAGTGTTGCGATTAAAAGATGTTTAGACACTTAAAATCTTAATCGTGTAAAAAATTTGAAATTCAGTATCGACAAGACACAGTGAAGAATTAACATTTCTATAAATATATGGAGTTAACCTTACCTTAACATCTCAGTTAAACTTGGAAAATCCTTTTCCCCAGGCAAGGTGAGGCGTGGAAAATCAATTTTATCACTACCATACGACGGAAATGGGGAAGTAGCAGTATTAGGAGACACATAAGATACAACATCGTCGATCTCCTCAGATATACTTTTTGAAATGGCTGTTTCATTATGTTTAGATTTTGAGCTGCTTGAAGGTGTGGATTGGCGCTTTGGCCCTGACACTGGAGATATTGTTTTAGCAGGGAAAACCTGATAGAAAATATAAAAGAAATAAAAAATGACATTCCTGGAGTTTGTAATTGGGTATGTTATTATGATATTAAATACCTGATCAAGTTGAGGTGAATTATGTTGAATTCTATCTCGAATAGTTAAAGTTGCTTTATGTAGACGTTCAATCTCTTGTTGTTGGTAAATCATGAAATGTCTTTGAAAACTTGCAGCTCTATTAGCAGCTTTCAAACACTTGATTTCCTCCTGGTAAGAACGCAATATACATACAATAAAAAAGTGTAAAAATTATCAGTTTTCAAACGAATCTCACCTTTTCTTTCTTCAGCTTCATTTTAATGCCTCGTTCTCGTTTCTTTATCGAAGGCATGGTGTCATCGGAGCCTTTGTCACGTGACTGTTTCTTTAATTGATCCAACCACTGTAGTTCAGCCTTGGTCTTCTCTTTCAGTGATTTTTCTCTTAGTCTCAGGATAGCAGCCTGGTGTTTTGTACGAACCTCCTCTTCCATCATGTAACGTTGTATCATATTTACAGTAAAACGACCGAAAGAATCATAACTTTCAAATGGTGAACATTTCTCCTTTTTGGTACTATCATTGCCATCAGTCAATGGCTGATCCTAGAAACAACAGAGTTATCGTAAATTCATAAAAGGAAGAAAGAACAATAAACAATTTTCGAAATGAAACCTTGATACGTTTCATGCTCTTTCGTCGATGTTCTCTTGACGGTAAAAGAAAGCTAAATTCTACATCATCATCAGTTACAGCACGTGAAGAATCATCAAGTTGTGAACTATATTCCAACGCCGACGACACTGAAGAGAAAAATAGATTTGGTGACAAAATTCAATCAATCAGTTCATTTGTCACCAAATTCGACACTCACTTGACTCGCGAGGTTTTAGATCCTCTCCTGACTCATTGTGTACTGTTGTGTCCTCTCCTGATTCATTGTGTACTGTCGTGTCCTCTCCTGATTCATTGTGTACTGTCGTATCCTCTTTATGAACACTTGCATTCTCAGAAAGAGTGTTGTTAGCAATTTCTTCAGGGATGCTTCAGAGGTGAAAATGAATGATTTTTACGAATATCGCATTTAATGTGAAATGTTATGTTTTCCTGTGTATAGATGAAGTCAGAGTATAGCATCTTACCTTTCGTAAGATTCAAACTCATCACTAGAGTATCTTGTAAGAGCATGTGAAGAATTAACAAATGACTCCCGCTTTGACTTCACTTCATCTGTTGTGCTTTTACTTGTATGTTCTCGCATATCACTCTTATACGTTCGCGATTCACTCCCATGCGTTCGTGGATCACTCTCGTGTTCGCGTGATTCATTCCCATGCGTTCGTTGATGAATCGAAAGTGTTTGTTGATCACTAGTACGTGTTTCTCTCCCACTCGTGTATGATGCTCCTTCATTCTCAAAAGATCTTAAGTCATCTGTAAGTGTTCGTTCGTTTATGGATATTTCTTCATCCCGGCCTGGAGACATTTCATCACTGACGAGGCTTTTATCAGACTTCATGTCATGATGACCTTCACTTATGCTTGTCGCACGTTCAACAAGTATAGTCGATGATCCTTTCATTTTTTGAAGATTTTCTACAGCTGCGCTCGTTGAACTTGTAAGATTTTTGCAAAAGTCTGCCAGTTGTTGTGATGTGCTGGTCAAAAGACCAGAAGTCATGCGTGTTGCCTGATTTAAAGAGCAAAATGTTGGATGAAATTTATCATAAAAGTTATTGAACATCACAAAGCATTTCTTTTCGTATATTCTACCTCTTCCATGTATTTTTTTGAATGTTCATTGTCTGTCTTGATGCATTGTGTTTGGACTAGTGCCAGGCTCTCTGCAGCTGAGGCCGCCGCCATTGCTGCTGCTTGGCGTGTCTAAAAGCATGAAGGGAAGCTTTCTAAATCTCTGTCCAACGAATGCGTGCGTTATGATTCTACCTTTTCAAGATCTTTAGCTGCTTGAGTGGCCTCTTGCTTTGCCCTCAATCTTAACTTGTTCATTTCTTGCTCATGAGATTGCTGTTTAGACTATATTGGTAGCCAAGAGAAAAGTTTAAAACAAAATATTTCGACTGAAGATATCGTAAATGAAAGAAAAACTACACTGCGCTTACCTTGAGTATTTGAGCCAGCGATACTGTCTCTTGTTGAGCCAAAGAGACCGCTCTAGATTTCTCAATATCGTTCACTTGACGCACGGAATCCTCCACATTTTCCAGTAGGTTGATCTCCGCTGTAAGCTGGCGTTGTAAGGAGTCTGGGGAGAAACGGTCTCCACCTCTGTGGTCAGATGGTTTAGGAAAATAAGGAAACCGTCTGATTGGCGGACTTTCACCCGACAATGATGTAATGGAGGGACTCGTGCGAGTATTTGGTTGCTATAGAAGATATGTGATACGTGTTACCATGATAAAAGAATAAAAATTGAGACATGTTATGTTGTAATAAAGATATTCGTTTGATGAAGTTACTTGCCATTGTTGAAACTGAAACAGGTGAAGTAAAGTGGACATTTTCTTTTTGATTTCTTTTCTCGTCGCATGATGATGACAGTTCCTCTCTCGTTTACACTATCTTCACTTATTTCGTCTTCGTTTTTAATTCGCGATGAGATCAACTCTTGTGAACTATCAAGTTTGTCGATTTGCTCTTTAGTATCAGAGTCCGTTTCAAAACATTCAGAGTACGTTACATCTTTACGATCTCCCTAGAGATAAAATTGTATGAATTAATGACATACAGCAGACAAATTCTTATCAGATAAGCGACTGATAAATGTCCAGTGTATCCTAACATCAAGCAACGTCCAGTATATCCTAACCTTTACACGAAGCTCACTAGCCGAAAGAGAATCAAAGTCAGTAGCGCCATCCACATATTCATTATTATGATCTGACTTTTTTCTTGATTCAATCTCAAGAAGGCTAGCTGTCTCCGATCCAGGCCCCTCGCTGTCCGATTGTCTACTTGAATCAATCTCAAGAAGGCTAGCCGTCTCCGATCCAGGCCCTTCGTTTAAAATATCTTCAAAAAGTTTGCAGTTAAGTTATTGATGCCAAGGTAATGTTTTATTGCACATGATGAAATAATACAGAAAGTAATATACGAATTTCTCTTTATTCTTCTATAATCAATGTTTACTCACCTTCTACAGGCAGTGATCTAAAACGTCGTGTAAATATATTCATAACACTAAATCTATAAATAAAAAAAAATGAAAGAAAGAACTTTAAAGAGAATCTTCGTCTTTTCACAACCAAAACGTTCATTTACCTATCACCACGGGGTTCATATGGAACTGCTGGCGTAAATTTATAATGACCAGTTGCTGTTTTTGACATCTCTTCTGAAGGAAATCAAGAAAAAAATTAAGGTTTTGTGAATTATACCTCTAAAAATATAACTCTCTCACCATTATGGAGAAAAGTATATCCAGGATTTTCATATTGATGTTTTCTCTCAAAGATAGATGGATTGTGCTGCTGAAAATACAGATGATGGTCATCCTAGCTGCAGTCACTATATCACCAGGGAGTACTACCTAGAGGTCATCTTACCACTAGGGAGTACTACCTAGAGGTCATCTTACCACTAGGGGGTACTACCTAGAGGTCATCTTACTACTAGGGGTACTACCTAGAGGTCATCTTACCACTAGGGGGTACTACCTAGAGGTCATCTTACTACTAGGGGGTACTACCTAGAGGTCATCTTACCACTAGGGAGTACTACCTAGAGGTCATCTTACCACTAGGGAGTACTACCTAGAGGTCATCTTACCACCAGGGGGTACTACCTAGAGGTCATCTTACCACTAGGGAGTACTACCTAGAGGTCATCTTACCACAAGGGAGTAGTACCTAGAGGTCATCTTACCACCAGGGGGTACTACCTAGAGGTCATCTTACCACAAGGTAGTAGTACCTAGAGGTCATCTTATCACCAGGGAGTACTACCTAGAGGTCATCTTACCACTAGGGGGTACTACCTAGAGGTCATCTTACCACCAGGGGGTACTACCTAGAGGTCATCTTACCACCAGGGAGTACTACACAGTGGCAATGTTACCTACCATTGTTAAATCAGTTTCATGAAACGACGGAAGATTTTTAAACTGCATATCATCACTACAATCTTCAACTGAAGAAGTTTCAACGACGTATTTTTGGATACCAGGTTTCGTTTTCTGTATTTCCTCGGTAGGTTCTGATACTGAATGATTCTTCTCCGCATCTGTAACATTCTCATCGTCAACGATTGGCAATGGTGAAATGTTTCCACTTTCATTTAATGATATTCTTTCATCGTTCCATCGATGACGTTTTCTGACCGTGTGCCCGCGATATGCTGCTTGAATCTTTGTTGCAGCTGCTGTTCTTTTCGACTAAAGCAAGACTCGATTTTATTGCGAGAAAGTTTGAGATCGAGTCTCAAACTGGAAGTTTATAAGAACATGAAAGAGAATAAAAACCTGTTTTTCGTTTTCAATCGCCTGTCTTCTTATATGTGCAACTCCTAAGACATTAATAATGGAAACAAATGTATTGCTTAAAATAATGTCCTCTCTTTAAAATAATCAACATTTCTTTCTACTTCATTAAACCTGGTAATTCGCCCTGAAATGCTGTCTCTTTACTTAGTGTTGGAAAAAGGTGTTGTTTCTCTGTTTGCTGAGTAAACGAGCCTTCCTTTATACCGCTGAGTCGTAAAGCATGCGATTGAAGGCGCGATTGTAAAGCTAAAGCTGTTGACTGTAGAGCGGTAAGACGTTGAGTTCTCTCATCCAAGGACTGGGTACTAGCTGGTAAAACTACAACAGAAAGATTTCTCAAACGTTGTACTCCTCACTACAAAACTCTCATACACGTCATACCCAAGTCACGTGGCGTCTTCTCGTGCATACTCTCATTGGTGAAAAGTTCTTCAGTAAGTGTGACGTTAATATCATCATTACTAACGCATCTTTCTGAAGACACATTAGGACTGTATTTCATATCTTCAACATCTTATACACAAGATAAGAAAATTCATCAACCATTAAAGTAGAAACATGAATATTAACAATGATTGCAGTAAACCTGTATTTTCTTTGTCTGAGTCATTATGCTTCAACGATAAAGATCTTTGGTCATTCTAAAATATTTCAACATTCACGATGTTTTGGTAAAGGTTGCAATTGCAAAAATGCGTTAAATATCTTTCTTAGAAATATTTTTCAACCTTTGTATATCCAGCTATACTTCCATCTTCATATTTCTCATTTCTCGGAAAACGAACATCGATATTTCCCATCGAGAATGTTTTACCAAGTCTTTTCTCTTTCTTCGTGGAAATGAAACTTTTTCTCTGCCTCTCATACAAATCCTAGCAACATTTAACGTACATCAATCGTTAATTTATTCAGTGGCTAAAACTTTGTGATTCAACCATAAAATAAATAAAGAGAGGGTATTTCATACTTACCTTTAGTCGTTTTTGTTTCTCTTCTTCTTGTTTCTTTTTTTGTAGTTTTTCTTCTCTCATTTTCTTTCTTCTCTCCGTCAATTGATGAGCCATATAACGCTGTAAATTATTGCGGTCATAAGCATAAACAATAATCACCAAAGGTAAAGTTCAATTTCAAATACCTGTACTTCTTCTTGGTCGTAATGACGAGTTTTCGCTTTAGGACACATATCTGTCAATTAAAATGAATTCTATCATTTCTAATTTGTATTACGTTGTTGTCCATTGGCAATCAATCACTGAACAATCCAAAGAACTTCTTCAACTAAAATAGTTTCATAATGATAGATAAAAAACCTTCATTTGATTTCTCTGTCACTGCTATTTTCTTTACTTTCAAGATTCTTTTCTTTTGTGGACTAGTTTTTAATATTTCAGCTTTTTCTTCATTCGTAACATCAGTATCACTTTCTGTAAAATAAACGATTTTTAACATTCCAATTTTTATGTGTAGAAATTCACATCACAAGTTGGTTGTGAGACCTGAGCTTTCTTTTGCAAGGTCCACTAACATCCCCTTTACATCTTTTGATAAAGAATCTTTCATTTTCGACTCAACGTCAAAATCATCTAACGAAACAATGTGAATAAATTACTTCATGCAATAAAACCATACATATCATCACAATGTTAAACGATCAAATACCTAAATTCTTCGTCGTTGCTTCCTCGTTAAAAACAGACGTTACTTTATCATTCTCAGCTTGAACATTATCCATGTTTTCATTTTCTCGCTGTACGACGTGATCGTCGTCTGAAGAAGTTAGTGGCCCCTCGATAATCTCATCTTCTGAACTCGTAACAAATGTTCTTCCCAATTTATTATTCGTCAAAGCATCTTTGTGAAAATATGTTTATCATTGTTGAAAACTGTAGGAAAATTTTGGCAAATTAAAGAATCTTGTTGTTATCGTAAACTTACAAGTATTTGTGGTTGTTTTTCCTTTATCATCAAACTTGTCCAATTTTGTGTTTTCGTTTTCTCAGTTGCTTGCATGGTTGATTTTATTTTCCTTGATTTCAATATTTTATTAACGTTTTCACGGCCATCTTTCCAAGATGTTGTTGTAATCACAGCTTGAGGTCGTTTTGAACCAACAATTCTTGTCATCTTATCTAAACAATCATCACTTTAATTTGAAAAAAATCATTACATTACGTTAGAAATTTATCAAAAGAACAATGGCCTGCTGTAGTGTCATTCACTGAATTGTTTCATTAAATATTTTTCGATCAAATAAATCTTTTTACTTTTTGCGGTATTTTTCTCTTTTTTCTGCCAAGATTTCACAGCAACTTTATGGTTGACATCTTTTTCATTTTTAGTTGGAAATCTCTTTTTTTCTCCTTTCTTCTTCAAGCTTGGTTCAATGGAAGCATTGAAACCTAACCAAAAAAATCTCTTCAACATGACTAAACCAAGAACTATGATCACATGGCCAACCGTACCTCTATAACTCGGACAAGATGCAGAAATAGATCCAACTTTTCGTTTCAACTTTAAGGAAGGCATACATTGTGTATTGGAAAATGCTTCGGTAACAAGATCTGTATTATGATGAAGTTGTCTTTCCATAGATTTATTAACAACTTGATTTTGTATCTTTGACTGTATGGCTGCCTTTTGTTTCTCAACTTTTTCTTTTATTTTCTGAAGGGCAGCTAGATAGTACATACAAAATGATATAATAATGATGAAAATATTTCACTTATGAGCTGTTATCAAGTTTTTATACACAATGTATGCTCCACCGTTGTACCTTCATTTACAGGCAACATTTTTCCATGAGATGATGATGCTGAGCTGTCAGATTGTTGTGATGTCATGTTGCTAGGCAACAGATTACTTCCTGTTGATACAGTCTTTGCATCAGGTTTACTGGTTGATATTGTCAAACTTTTAAAGGTTTCAGGATCATCAATAAATTCATTTAGAAGCTTGGGTTTGAAAGCTGTTTTTTCTAAGAATTTTGGTCCTTCTTCAAGTTCACTTGACTTGTATTGTGTTGTGGAATAAGATTTGCTTCTATCTACTGAGAGAAATAACCAATTTCTGCTATCTTCTCTCCGTGCGTTCATTTAAATTCATTGAAGCATTTTGCTTAGACTGAGGTTTGAATTTCTAAGGCTATTGCACACATTTTATAATGTTAACAAATCTACCTTCATCAAGTCTTGAGTAGTCCTTGGGTATGGAAGAGATTTCCAAAATTTTTGACCAATCATTTCTCATTTTCTTTCCTTTGAGGTTACCATAATTCTTCTTGGGCAAATCTCCATCATACAACTGAAAACGTGTTACCTTGCCTAAATGTTGTTTTTCCTTAGATATCGTCTTTAATACTTTTCCTTCAGACATGTGTACATTTTTCATGGATTTTTGCTTTGATTTAGGAGCAGCAACATCAACATTATCTTCAAGTCTGCTCAGCTGCAAAGTCCATACAGTGATAGGTTTTAAAAGTTTGATTGTATTTAATGTAAACATTCCAGTACAGAATACTCACTGATTTTTTTATATCAGCGATGTTATCCCAAGCTCTTGATATACCTACAGCATGGAAATTGTCTTTAAGAACGATATTTATCGGAAAGATGAATTGCTATCCCATATACTAATTTGTATAAATATCGAAATGGTCTGGTTGCTTGGCAAGGGGAATTATGTCAGTTTTTTGCATTCAGTCAGTTTACTTTAACGTACTATAGCTAACACACATGAAATAAGATTAGTACTTACCGAGAACGTCGGATTTTGCATTTTTCCTCACATATATTGTCGGATCTTCAACTTTTCGTACTGTAAACGACATCGTTCACGCTAACGGTGATTAAACTCCAAACCGTTATACTCCAAAATCATCAAATCCAATGAAAATGAATAAGGATACAAATACATAAAAACCATCAATATGTATACAAACAAAATTTGTGCTGGGAAAAACCTCTGATTACCATGAAATATGTTTTAACCATAAACGAATCATAAATATGGCGCGCTGTATTGAATATTGATGCAAATGGATCATGGGGAGTACAATAGATCATTTTCACATGTTGAGGGACTTCAGACAAGGATGGCCTTTGAATTTCTAGAAGACTATAACGCTTTTATTTTTTTATCACTCTTTAATAGATATTTTGATTTTGTCGGGTTCATATCGACAATTTCATGCTTAAATTTTTCTTTTTTGGCTTCTTCTTGAGCATAGTAAGCAAGGCTTGCGTTGAGCATGCGCAATGCCTCATTAACTATTGTGAATTTATCTATTTTTTTTAACCGAACTTGATTTTGACCATGAAGAAAAGAGTGGAATTTTTTGTATCTTTATAAAAGAGGTAAGACCTCTAAAGTGCGAGAGGTAAATTACATAAGTGACTGTGAAATTTTTTTGTTTTTTGTTGAGAAAGAAAACGGACGAGAAATTCAATCTCATCAAATTAAAACCGCTTTCTTCTGTAAAACAGTAAAACTTCAACGTGAACAAATTATTTGGTTTTTAACGTTTTGTACGTATTTTTATTTAGTAAAATTATTCATTTAAGTGTTATATTTGATTTAAATAAACATAGCGTGACAATTCTTGTCCATTAATCTCAAACTGTGTGTTTTATTTTTTCATTGTTTGTTTTCCTATCGCTTTCTTCAAACACATACAACAATACGTCAATACCGCAATGGTTAATTGAATTTGTGTTATCGCTGAGTCAATCTAGTTTGAACAACAAAATTGTCCAACCGTTTATAAACGCTGCCTAAAGCGTACATAAATATTCTCTTTATGTATGCAATTTTTCTATTTTTTTAAGTACTTGAGAGTTAAGATGAAAGTCCATTGCATTGAAGCCTGGGTAAGGTAATGAAACTTTATGGCTCCGCGATATCATTTTTTTCTTCCGTAGTTTTTCTTTATCGATATGAAGAATATAGTTCAAATGGTGTCATTGTTGGTGGAGAACATGCATTTCCTCGTAAGTATCGACTTTCCAAACTTCGTGATTCATTTTCTGTCTTTGAGCAATGACCGGCGTAAGGCCATATAGGTCCATTATGTATAGTTGGTGTCATATAGGCTGTAGGTGTTAGTAAGGTTGGTGGACCATTCCCCGGTACACTAAGAAGATATCCAGGGGCAGTATATGATAAACTGGGACGCGGAGCAATTGGTATTTGTAAGGAATTTTCGGAGTCAATTCTTATCTTTTTCGGATGTAATCTTGATGGATTCTGTGACTTTCGCCATTTTGCACGACGATTTTGAAACCACACCTTCACAAGAAATAATAATTTTGTTATTTTTCTTACCGCTCACCATAAACATTCTGGCTAAGATAAGTGTGATGTGCTTGTGAGCATTAAACAAGTGGATGTGTAACTACGATGATAATAAAATGTCTCTAAGATAACAAATCCTGCAGCTGTCATTAATTGTTCGGCCCAGTTGAGATATAATGACAAATTTCTAATCTTTTTATTAAACGTTGTTATGCTTGTCCATTAAAACGCACGCCAAAGCAATAATAATCGGTTTTCGTAACGAAATAAGGTTAAAATATAATTAGCGTAGTCGTTGTTTTTTCCTAAAATATACGAATAAAAATAAGACTAGTTCTGCATAACTCAATAAGGGAAGTAAAGGAAAAGTGAAATCAAATTTCTCTTATCGTTAAGTCAAATTGAACGCCCTCCCGTTGAGTAGAAACGCCACGATGAATTTTCTTTTTTCGTCCTGAAATTCCTTATTACTTACCGAAACTTGTTTGTTTTAGTTTATAGCGTTAAAAGAAATGTACTTGATCGATAGTACTTAAAGATTATCACTGTTTTAGTCTTTTTATACATCACATATTTCCACCGTTTTGATGGGATCTAATAAAAATCTTTTACATCCTCAAAGGAACTCGTTCTTTTTGCATTATCTCTCTATAAAACTGTTGCTGTACCATAACCAAGGTGCTTTTGTTTCTATTCTTTAGCAAACCTAAATGCAAACTTTCGGCATACTTTAGTACAAAAGTGTATGATTTATTTTTAATGACCTGTATTCTTGCCTCGCTTATGCTTATTTTGGTCGCCAACTCTTCTCTTAATGCTATATCTGGGTAATGTTTCTTTTCAAAGACTTTCTCAAGCTCCTCAAGCTGACTTTTTGTGAACGTTGTTCTATTTCTTCTCTGTTTTCTTCGAATGGCAGGATTGTCGTCGGACAAACACGGTGAAGTTTGATAAGGACGATAAAGTACCCGAGTTACATGTTCTATGAGTTTTTAAACAATAATATTACTGTGAGTTTTCAACATATGTTCAACAATGATGGAATTTATGATATTGCAAAATTTTTGTCAACCAATTTTCAGCTGAGAAACTATGTAATGTAATGGCGAGCAATCAAAACCTTCCTCTTTGAACATGGTTATAAAGCCTAAGTAAAGTACATTGAATTTGTTCTCAACCTTCCTGTATTTGAAGTTACAAAGTTTCTGCAAAGGATCTTCATGTCTTTTTTACACCTTTTATTAGATCTTCGTGAAGAGTTGAGTTGTACTTACGTGTCGAATTTGTTGGATCAACGCTCAAAACATCGCCGATATAATGAGACGATGGAGTAGTTGAAATAACTGGGCTTAGACGTGATGGTAACATGACTCTTTTTAATCAATATATTCTTGTTCAACAATGCCTTTTTTCCTCCCTTGCTCATTCAGTGATATGTCAGATTTGTTATTTGCTCAACGCGTTAAAAGTTTTAGCATCACTGATCGCCCACTGGGTGGACCCTCATTTTAAATACATGCATAGCAGCGCGCGCAACTGCAGGTGCTCCGTCAAGATCGTGTTGTTTCCCTATCCTGTTGCGTTTATCTAACTGTTTTATACACCAGTATAAGCGTACACAAATATCCACAATGACTTTTTGATTAGTACATCGTAGTTAATTCTTCATAGGATAATGCAGGGCACCTGTATCGTTGCACTCATTTGTTTTGTTGTGTTTAAGATAAAGTTTAAGACATCAGAAAGTTAGATAAATTCTCCATTTATTTATATAAGTACATCAAAATTTTTTCTCGCAAAAAATATGTAGTGTAAATACTCTTGTTTTTGCTTTGACAAAATGACAAACTAGAGTAATATCTTTCTTTCGTACAATATGCTCAGATTATTTAAGTTCAGACAAGCTAATCTTTTAAAGTGTCCTAACCATTTCCTTGGACACTTGAATAATAGCTACATCCACAATTTTGATTATTTAAACTCAGTGGCTTTTAAGAATCATGAACGGAACTTCCTAAATGACGAAGACAGCAAGTCTTTGCCTTGTCAACTCTTAGTCATACATTCAAGATTTTATTATTATATGCAAACAAGAAATGCTTCATTATAAGTCTAATAAAAACTCGAGATTCGTTTGCATCAATAAAAGTCTGCCTCTTCATAGTTTGTAATTATTCATAATTCAGAAGTAGTCAACTGTCTGCAACTGTACTTGACTCAATATCTTTTCAAGTGCAAATGTGCTGCATTGAGTTTGTGTCTCAATACAGACTCATTTTTAATTTTTTAAATTAAGAGTTTCGCGCATTTGCCTGTCTTCGCATTATTCTGCATTGTGTACACCTTTTTAATTATTTTACATATAAAATGATGTGCGTAATTGATAATCTATATATTGCTTAATCTATTGCTAAACAAATAAGCTAATGCCCTTGCATGTATAAAAAAGTTGGGATCAAACGATGTTTATGCATGGTTTTATAGCTAGATTTGGCTGGAGAAAATATTCTTTTATGCTTAAACTTTTTTTTATAAAAAAAATTATAAAACCCAAGTAAAGGTTTTGGTTCTTCAACTATTACATCATTACACTCATTTCTGCATAACTTTTTAACACTTTTACGTGGTTAAATTTCGAAATTTTATTTCGGACGTTCCTCGAAAATTCATAATCGAGAAAATTTTTCTTTTTTTTCTTTGTACCACAGCCTAAATACAAATGAAAGTTAAATGCATTCTTTTTTCACTTCGAGAAGGTCTTAAAAATAGAAATTTAAATCCATTTAGCTTTTCGTCGTCCATCTGCCGACAATTTTTATGACAATTCAAATGTGAAATTAGTTTTGGTTTCATTTAAATATTGAATGATTTCTGACACCGACTGTTAAAAAAAAATTTACCGTAATTGTAGCAAAAGGATTCCCACGAATTTTTTTATTCCTCTTTTCATTATTTTTGTCCAAATTTGAGAATCACTCATTTGGAATCATGAAACATACACGGTTTTTGTGCAGAAATTGTTTACATTCATATTTCCCATTCAGTAACACATTCATTTAGACGGACCGTTATATATCCAAAAATCAATGAGATGAAAATACCCGCAGAGGACTTCAGTCCTTGAGAATCAAGGACAACACACAGTTTGTTCATTATAACTGTCATTTTATACTGAATTTGCTCTTTCATTTTTATTATTTTATACTATTCCCAGCAAATGTTCTTTTCAATTGAGTTGTCAGTAAAATCTTTTCTCTGCAAACATCTGTCATTAATTTACAATGACTAAAACGGCCTGCTAATTGATCTCTATGATTTCATAAATATCAATTAGTGTTGACTTCAGTTAAACAGGCAAACAGCTAGTGACGTTTTACTGGCATTTCGTGTACAGATTTTATTCCACCAGTTTTTATATTTTTACTGTTTTAAAACATAGCTATAATTTTTTTTGACTATTCACTCGCCTCGTTTCGTTAAATTCATCTCTAGATTGTTTTATTAGAGATTAGTTTGTGTTCACATGCTCTATGTTTCAATTACTTTTTGGCCTAAAATTTTTTGTTTTCAGAAAACAATTTTTCGCGGATGTGACACGTAGCCCAGCATCAAAACAACGCCAACTGAATTCATAATTTTTTTATTTGATATTCCAGTAAAACATGTTATAATGATCATAACGTTAAATTTATTGACTCACTCCACAAACTCAGCAGTTTTATGAATGAGTTTTAAAACGCCGTGAAATCCAATTTCATTTTTCTATATTAGATGAAAACGATTGGTGGGGGGTGTATATTCAGAATAAAAACCCAAATTAATATCGCCTCCAATGATATATAGATGAACATCAATTATTTATGAAGTTTTTTTGTTGTTAACTCTACTTTGAATACAAGTATTTCACATAAATAAGGGTCTTCAATTGTTGGTTCAAAGCTGTAAAGTGAAAGAGCATTCATGGCGTTTTTCGAGCGAAGTGAAAACGACGTGATTTTATCATAAATTTGTGCGAATCGCAGGAAGTTCGAGAGCAAATTAGAAAATTTTCCATCTTCCGGTTCTGTGCGCAGATGGTAATTTAAAATCATGTTTGTAGTATAAATATGTTAAAATGACAATTTTATTTGCAATCTTCTAAAAACTCTAATTGAGACTCATTGAACAGCGTAATTGGAGCATTCAGGATGGATGATCAAAGGAGAATCGCTCGATTATTTTGCTAGCCATGCGTGCATTTTGTTAAGCCACCTAAATATTTGTCATTTCTTTGCTGTTGCAATTTAGGTAAAAGATAACTTGTTTTATTCGGGAATTTATAAGTGTTTTCTTCTGCGATGTTTTTTTTCTTGTTCATTGACGAATTCCTATCTCCTCATTAAAAATTAATTAGTCAGGAGAGATGACATATGTCTGCTTGTAATCATTAATGATCTTATGATATTGTTCTTGTTCAACCAACTCAAGATAACCGTTTATAATTATTTTCTTAGACGACATTTATTTCATCAAGGAACTTAAATATGCATAGGATATAAAGACTTGAATTAACGTAATCTATGGCGAAAATCTTAAGTAGTTCTGGGTGTTAGACCTGGGGACTGGCACGGAGACATAATACGTGACAATATGATTGTCGTTGAAGATATAATCTTATATTATTTGTTCATCCTCTGTTATTTCTGTAAAAAATAATGTTTCATTCCACTGGTTTGGATATGTTCAATCATAACCATCTTTCAAACAATATTTACAATTTGATTTCATTCACAAAATCCACATACAGTATTTAAATATTTATAAACATAACATGATTAACATCCATAAAAATTGATTCCAAATTCTTTGAGCTCCAGTTCACTTATAAAATCCTTCATCGCCATATTTTGACAGTGATTTTTGACCATTAATCAAGTTAGTTGTCGGTAGTTCTTTGGGCTTTCCTCAACATCAAAGAAAGTAAATTATTAGCATAATTTATAAAAAATTGTAATTGACAAAGATAGGAGTACCTTCATATTGATAGAGCCTATTTTGATAAGACTGCATCACCACTATTGACTTGGCATAACCACAACATGCACCAAAACCTATTTAATTGGAAATTTTATGTAAGAAAGCTAATATTGCAATCAAATATAAACCAATTGAAGATGAAAAATTACTTAGGTACCAAGGCAAATCAGTGGAATGTACTTAGGTTCCTTTTTGAGTATTTTTGTGACCTTCAACACAGCATATGTGGCCATACTCCCTGGAATGTGTACAAGCACAAGGCCAATTTAGCTACAAGTCCATAGAATTGGAAATTGTGATTAGGAATGATGGTTGGTGGTTTGAGGGATGGTAAGTAGTAATGAAGAATAGCAGCCGTTTATGGAGGATAGTTACTGGTTATGAATGATGGTTAATGGTTATGAATGATGGTTAATGGTTATGAATGATGGTTAATGGTTATGAATGATGGTTAATGGTCGTTTTGAAGGATGGGTAGTGATAATGGAGGATGGTTGGGGGTGCTTACAATTACGATTAATTTAAATAAACAATTTAACATATTTTACAATTTGTAAACGTTCACGTTAAAAAAATTATAGACAAGTACTTTTGTTAGTTACTTACCAATAATAAATGATGATATGCCAGAGATCCTTGCCTCTCGTTGACATGATTTTAGATCATCGTAACCCTAATTTAAAGGTCGTACATAGACACTTCACTAAGTCAACACTAACACTACAACACATAACAATGATATTGTAAACATTACGAAAAAATACAGTAAAGACTGAGATTTTATGCAGTGAAACTACATTATAGTGACGAACATTACTAACCGATTCGCTTCCCAATCGTTTGTTTAAAATAAAATCCATATTTTCAATCCATATATTATGTAATGAGCATACGAAGATGAAAAAGGCTATTTCTGCCTGCTTGCAGGTCACCGTAACTGAGGCCCGCGCCTCTATAATAGGTGTTTTAATAGAGTTCCACTGGTGATTGGCAGGTAATTGGTGATTATTAAATTTACGGTCAGGTTGAAATGAGTGCAATATCCTTAAAAATGACAACCAACAGCCAATGTAAATTACTTCCTGAACTTTATTAGATATTTTCATCATTTACATGTTGCTTTATTTACTTTTTATAAAAAGCATGAAGTGCTACAAAACTTCTCAAATGTTAAAGTTAGTTACTATTGATAATCATTTAACTATAAAAATTTTCTCGAAACAAACAAAAACGACCTCAAGTTCGTGTTGTCGTCATGAAATTTACATTTATTGGCGATATGACCCACAAGGCCGTGCGATCATCCGCCGGATATGAGTGTTGATTTTTAGTCGAGAAGCTTCAACGAAGACAATAAAATTGTCTAAGTCTGTTTTAGCTATTGCTAAACTATTGCAGTTACATAAGGTATATGTAAGATTGGCAAAGGATTAAGATTATGGCGTGGGGAAACGAGTTATGGGTAAGTGTGAAACATGTTTTGTTATTGCATCAGGAATGCTCATTTGAATTGACCTTATAGAAATACACACATGTCAGAAACCATTGAACATTGAAAAAATTCTACTTCTATTTAGGATCGATCTGATGTCGTAGCGAATCACACACAACAGTCTATCGACTTTATTGAGAAAGTTTCCAAATTTATCAAGGAAAGATCAAGAATTGAGCAAGATTATGCCAAGGAACTCAAGTATGTGACGTTAATTGTTATATTGATGCAGCACATCGGAAATACAGCATGCTTCAATGTTGCTGATTATATACAATTATTGTTAAATTGTGACTTATCTTCTAACAATATTGTTAATGTTTTTTTTTTGTTACGCTACAATTGTTGCATTGTTTTGATTCTTTCGTCAAATTTACAGTTTATTTAAACTTTCAACTACAGTAGATTTCTTACTTAAAAGATTGCTTTTTTTGTTTCATAAAATGAGAAATGTCGGCATTGGACGTTACATAAGTCCGTAGTTTTTTTATTATGTATTCAATAGTTTGTTTTTTATGTGGTGGTGTCACATTCCAGTTTACATCGTGAATATCTTAACAACACGTTCGACAAACATTTATCGTCAGTAAAATACTGTATTTAAACAATTCTTACATAACCATGAGTATTTCAATGTCTTTCATCACATTTTCGTGTTTGGTGCTGATAATTTTTTATGTGTAAAAACTGCATTTACTTGTAAATACGCTTTACTTGTAACTAAACCTATTTTTAATGTTTCTGACATAAAAGTTGGTACGTTTAATAAGTGAACTATTGCGCCTTTGAATGGGATTGTCATTTGATATTTATGATTTGTTGTTTCTCGACCATGTTAGTTTTTAAATTTCATCATAATGATTAACTATTTTTTCAAGCAAAATTTTCATTTGTCGCCGTGAAATGTGACATAAATCATCAAACAATCATAAATTGTTGAAATATTTCTAACAAAAGAAATTATCATGTTTGTTTTTGAACTACTCTGTATTGTTTATTATCATAAAGAAATTAAAAAGGTTCGTTGGACCTTTATAGGAAGTTGTGCAAGTCATACCACTTGAAGAAAAAGGAAGAATCAAGGTTGGAAATGTATTTTGTGAAACATGAATGTAGTAGTGCAAAATTTATTCAATAATGAATTGTTCATTTTAGTCTAACTGTCCACAAAGCATTCACTGGAATTTTAAAGGAAACAGAGGATATTGCCGGTCAACATGAAGTTATAAGCGAAGAGCTGCAGTCAAAGGTGTACAAAGAGCTACATGTACTTTCTACGGAAGCTAAACATGATAGAAAAAAGGTAGACAGACTTTGAATGTTTGATGTCTTTAAAGAATTATATATATGGAAAATTAAATCATTTAGTGTGTTGTAGTTTATAGATGGAGAAAAGACACTTCTAAGAAATCTTCAGCAATCTATGAATTCCTTAGATAATGTAGGGACATTGAGTTGTTTGTTAATAACTCACTTAAAACAAATTTTAAATAATCCTCTTGCTTGTTACTTAGGCCAAAAGAGCATATGAAAAATCCAGCAAAGAATCCACTGAAGCATTTCAAAACTATCAGAAAGCAGACAATGACATGAACATGACAAAGATGCAAATTGAAAAGGTTTGTAGTTATTTTTTAGGATTGTAAAGTTTTATGAAGTTTATAGTGAGGTGAATGGTTTGAACCTGGGGTTATCATTACATGTTTGTAGATATAGATTAATGTGGTTGGTGCAATCTTAGGAAGGATTTTTGATGATGATGTTAACGGATGCTTTGACATACATGATGGTTGTGTCATGAAGATTGACTCTGAAGATGATTATTTTATTTAATTATTTTCAATTTCTAGTTAAAACAATTATCTATGGAGAAAGGTCAACAGTGTGAAAATGCCAAGGAGGCATATCGTGATCAACTCACTAAGACGAATAACAGTCAAACACTTCATTATTCAACCAATTTTCCACAATTAAGCGATGTATGTTACTGGATTGTTGGTGGTAATTACTATTGGGTTGTCAGGCACCCATTTGAGACGTATTTTATTGTTAAGGTGTTACAAAAGAGTGAGGAAGATCATATTGCAAGATATGCCATTCTTCTTACACAATATTCTGATGTTCAGGCCAAGGTTATTCCAATCATAAATAAATGTTTGGAGGGAATGAAAGTTGCAGCGCAAATTGTAGATGGGGGAAAGGTACAAAGATTTAATTTTAGAAATTGGTGTATTTTTACCATTCAAAATGTTTGGTTACATCAAAATAGGATTCACAATCTTTGGTGGATGCAAACAAGACGGGTTTTTCTCCGCCTGGGGATATTCCATTCGAAGAATATGGCAAACCAGCAACTCAACAACCTGGGACACCATCGGATAAAAAAGGAAAATCAAAGAAGGCTAAAGCAAAAGGCCATAAAAATGTCAAGGTGCAGAGACTATTGTCAATCATTTTTAGTGCAATTTAATACTTCAATTTTATCATAAAACAGTATACTTTTATGTTGTTTGTGACATTTTCTGTTTACTTCTCAGAATGTTGGTGATGGAAATGACTTTCAAAGTCTTAATCCTGGTGAAAAACTTCGAGTGTGTAAAAAAAAGATTGAGGAATTAAGTCTTTCATCCAATACACTACTTGCAGAAAGACAAGCCTTGGAGAAAATGTTAGGAGTTTATAGCGAGAACACTGCATTAGGGGATCCAAAAAGCATTGCCTCTCAACTTGAGGATAATGCAAAAGCATTGGACAAAAGTAATGAAGAACTTTATAAATATCAGGTTTGATTAAATGCCGCCTTTATTATATTTTATATTTTATTTTTAACTATCCTTTGATATCTTTAGTGTTATTTGGCCATATTAGAAAAAACTGAGCAACCTGTCAAGCAACCAACTTATTCTGGTCAAAATGTACCTGCACCTCCTTCACATCATTCATCCAATGGTGAACCTGCTCCACCACCTGCTAACATTCCAGATCCACCACCGTACCATGGAACAAATGAGGTGGACCATGCAGATGGAGAATTTGAGGATGATATACGGTGTTACGTACTTTATGATTTTCAAGGTTAGTTATATGTAATAATAGCAAGATCTTTTTGTTTTATAAAATCTCTTGTGTTGAAAAGATGCAAGAGAACCTTACTAAGTATTGATGATTGCATTGAAGAAATTAACATTACCTATAAATAGTGGTACAAATATTGCAATTATGCTTTCTCTTTTTCTGTTCACAGTTTAATGTAATATTTTTCATTTTCTGATTGACTTTACTGATCTGTAATTCATTCAACTTTAGGTACAAACGAGGGTGAGATTACCGTGTCTGCTGGTGAGGAGTTGATTGTATTAGAACAAGATATTGACAGTACAGGTTGGACGCAGGTATTGAAAGGTGAAGAAGAAGGTTACGTTCCAACTGCTTATATACAAATCTCTGAGTAGATATCTATTTAAGAAGAATCCAAGAAATTTTGTCCAGTTTATGGTGTTGACATCCTCCAACAGTTGCAGAAAATCTCTTAACATGAAGATATAATATAAGATTTACCTGAGCACAAATATGTGCTCATTACTCCTGGGAGCTTATTTATCCATGGCCCAGAAAATGGCAATTGTACCTGTAAATTCTATTTTATTTTATTGATGATTCAAAATGTAACTTTAATTTGTCGTAAGAATGTAACTAATTTAGTTTTAAACACATAGAAGGACGCTATGCAGAATTATTTTCTGCACTTTTTTACTAAGCCATCCTTTTAAAAGAATGTGGTCTTTTAGGATAAAGTCATATTTTTTGTACAAATTATTTAGTAATAATTTTACGATATACTTTTATTTGTCTTCTACTTTGCTTTTGGTTATGAAAAGTTTGAATGCATAGTCTAATGCGCTTTCTAAAAACAACAACTGAATTACGATTTAAAAAATTATTACAATGGCAGGAATTTACATCCATCTTAGCAGTCAATAAAAATCGGCTTATCATGCTTTTTGTGTTGTACTTATAAGATTACGACGTCAAACGTATTTTTTTAGCGAAAGAATAACTTGTGTCTGGTGTATTTAAAGTTAGATTTTTCAAGTGAATTTCCATTTTTCTATCATAAACTATCAACGGCCTATCATACTCCTACACACAATACCCTTCAGGGGGTGAGGTTAGGTTTCCTTGTCTGTTGAATTATTCATTCCGGTATTTGCATAATCTGCGTCCTTATTTATAGCAAACAGTTCGCCTGTATGCGTCGGTGAACGTGAATTCATTAGTGCGCAGTGCTTAGAAGAGACAAGTAATACATACAAGGTAGCTAACTATTTTATTACCAGTTAATTCGTTTAAATTTTTGGCGTATTTTGAATGTTTAAAGATATTAGTAGTGAGCTTTATTGCGTAAAATGTCTATTGTTGACTCAACGTTTTGAAATTGTTTTTTGTTATCTTTACGACATCGAACGAAAGTAAATCTTTTTTCATAAGCAACTGGTATTTGATAATTGTTGAACCGACTGACAGATAACTCAAACACAATATGTTTGAAACAACTATTTGTGCATTTTGCTCTAATTTATGGTTAAAGAAAAAACAAGGCGAAGAAAACGACATCGTAAAGGATAATTTTCGTTTGAATTTTCGTTTGCGAGAAATGTGAAAATGATGGTTTTATGCGTAGATTATGATTTTTTGTCATTTAAAACCTTTCATCGTTCTGTCGCGCAAACTATGCCGATGATAATTTTACCCCTAAATGACTAGAAAGTTAAATATTTGTTCGTTGACAATCACCGTCATTTAATGGCAAATCGTTTTTCAAGTCGTAGGATTTAGTTGATGACTTCCTTGTTTATGTATGCAAAGGTTTCGTTAAATTAGACACAAACAAGAGCGACGCAAACGGATTTTTTACTCTAACAGTTAACGACGTATTAATTACGTCAAATTGACCATCCTCGTTTCCTCTGTAGGACACCTACGAGATAATAAAAAATCCTTTCTTAAGTTGCTCTGTATCCGTCCGTTTTCAAGATTAATCTTACTATCTACCAGTGCAATATAATGGGTTGGGAAAAGTAGGGCTCAAGTAAAATATTTTTAAATTTTGTGACACTGACAATCTTGCCTACCTTTTTAATGTAATCATTTGACCTTTTAAGTGGTTCTTGAATCATCATTTATAATTCATGTTTTATCGTTCATGCATAATAAGAACTAGTGATGCATGCATAATATAGATGATAAATAATGTCTTGATTTCTTCATATTTAGGAAGACAGAAACGAACAAACTGATATTTAACAGAAATCATAACATAAAAGGTTAGTGTAACAAAGTATCTTCCATAAGATACAAAATTGTTAGTATATATTCAATTCAAACCTATATCTTGGTACGCAATTCATAATATGTCCACCCACTGCTATGTATTTACTTCCATTTTAAAGATATAAAAAATTGAGGAATTATGGAGTTCCTTCGGTTGTCAGTGCTCGAATAATCTTAATGTAAACCTCTTTAGATGTTGTCATTTCATGCCTCTGTATGTTTGCAGGTTTTTTTGCTGCCTTTGTAAATTGCTAAACAAGACAATATTGAAAGACTTACTTGTCACAAGCACTTAACTTCAAAGAGTATTTTAATAGATGCATTCTTAAAAGTGTTTGTAAGTAAAATTTTTCTTTAGGATTGATTCAATTGAAAGAATCTTAGATACCAAGAATGTCCGAACAGCAAATGAATCATTTAACTGTTGAGAAAAAAACTCGTTTGAAATCTCCCGACAGAGGAATGCCGTTTAAAAAGTGAGTAAATTTCATCATTTTTTGTATGCTCTGATATTCACTGGTGACTTAACGATAGATAGTCGATACTTTTATAAATTATCGCTCAATGTCAACATAAAGATAAATCTGTAATCTTAGAAAATGAAATCTTATATCATCTTATACCTACGTACTATGAGACAACCGGCGAAATGTATATCTAATATATGAAATTTCGTAATTTGTTTCTAGAATGGCAAAGATCTTAACAAAACGTCTTCACAAAGCTAAAGAACATGAGGTTCATCAAGATCTTGTTGATCAACCCTGGTTCCACGGTCGTTTGACATCGGAATACGCCGTAAAGATACTCGGAGATCAAGGAAAATTTCTTGTGCGTGAAGATCCAGCTAGTCCTGGACACTATTTTATGTCCATTAATGATAATGGTTCAGTAAAAAATTTTCCAGTGCAAAGGACAACGACCAAAAACATGAAATACAAATACAGACTTGGGAAAAGTGAAAGTTTCGAATCCTTGGTGGATTTGATTGAACATCTTTACGTGAGTAAGTTTTTAATTACTGACAGCGGGAAAATACGTCTTTCAGCTGCAGTGAATCGTGATACAGGACTGCTCGTAGCACCTGAACAGGACGCGAGAATTCAAGTTACGAGTGCACCTCCAACTAGAGCAGGTACGCCACCTTTAATGAAACGAAACAATAGCGATCCAAACTTGACGACGTTACAGGTAAATGATATGACTCCAAGAACTCGTCTCCAGTCTCGCTCCTCTCCTCCTAGTCTTTACGTCGACGAGTTTAACTTGAATGAGAGCGAGAGTTTATACGATGAAATAAACTTACCTCCAAAACAGTCGACGCTCTTGAAGAAGAAACAAACGATTTTAAGCGATGTTTTGGGAAAGTTTCGTAATACTTTATATAAAGTGTTTGTAAAAAACGACTGCCTTACGCTGGCCAAATACTTGACACAGAGAGATCTTGAGATAGTCTGGGGCGAGGATCTTGACAAAAAGAACAAAGAGAATGGTCTGTCTTCAATAAATGCATTGGAATTGATATTATTTCCTGATGGTAGCGAACTTAGACAGGCCATATTAAAAAGGTAATATAGAGACTGCGTGAATTAAAGATAACTTAATTTATGTTCAATTTACATATTTTTATATTTAGACAAAGAATTATTTCAACTTGGGTTAGTTGTATGGTGATAGCAGGAGGTGAAACTGATGGTAGAGTTGGTATATTAAAGATATTCATAGGTATTGCTCATGCGTTGTTCAGTTCACTGGGAAATCTGAATAGTTTCATGGCTGTAATGGATGGACTTGAAGCCACTCAGGTGCCAACAAATGTCATTCATTTAGTTAATAATTTAGTAATAATTTATACCATCTGTCTACTATAAAAGATTTCTCCTTTTTACTTAGGTAAACCGTCTTAAAAAGACCTGGGGCCTTTTGGAAAACACTCACCCTAACCTCTCTATTGTATATCACAACACATTGAGATCAGTTTATGCTGTTTTGAATTCCCAAGGCACTCACTCATTTCCTGGAAAGATCAAGCCCTGTTTACCATATATTGCGCATGTAGTGAAGTGTCTTGAAGTTGGTCCCAGTCCTCTTGTGGAAGCCGTAAATGACGTGAATGAGTTAGACGAACTTCAAGTAATGTTAAATCACTTGAGTAGCGCAAGAGATGTTGCAACGGCTGCTCTCAGCTACCGTGGGCAGGCTGTAGAGTTCATTAAGAACATGAAAGGTGGCAATAGGGAGCTTGAAAGTTATGTTAGAGATACAGTTGATGTATCAAGGGCTGTTGGACTAGGTTTTCGCGAAAGTGAGGTTGCTTTGAAGATGGAAGGTCTTCTTACCCTAATGTCTGAACACGTCGAGTCTTAATATATAGACAGAAATATTATATATTTTCATATCAACCATTGGTAAAAAGAAATAAAAAATGTCTGTTAAGCTTATGCTTCATAATGACAGGAAAAGGAGTCTTCGAAATCGATATCAAATTCTTTGAAATGTAATCTTGTTAGCTTACCCCTATATATCAACCACTCCTGCTGTCTTTAACCATTTATGGCAAATATTTAAGGTGTTTATTCAATAGCATGTAAGACGGAAACAAAAGAAAATGCCATTAATTATATATTTTACTGTGACATGTGAAATTAATTAAAGTTTACCAATCATCATCCAGCTTATTTATGAAGATAACATCAGTGTGACGATTATACGTCGAAATTGGGCGACCGCTTCCGACAATTGAACATAATAGATTGAGAATGCCTTTGTATTTGATTTCATGTTTTTTAAAAATTTTTAAAGCTTAACAATGTTCTAAATCTTTACTTTACAAATTCTAAATACCAGCGTTACTTCTATCAGAAGTCGTCGTTTTAAATAGTTTTATATTGAAACGGTGAAGGGAGTAAACTATTTCCTGTTTTCCTCTTTCTCAGTTTGATTTGAAAGTGGTACACACGACGCAAATGAGCATGGTGTGAATGGCGTTTCTACAGGTAGTTTTTAGTTATTTTCTTCATAATTTGTAAAAGTACATCTCAATACCATTGTTAGATGTAATAGTCATGTTTTATCAATAAAAGTTAGCTTACTCTTTGTAAGATATTTAATTACTCAAAATTGTTTGCAGTCGTAGGTAAAAATGTTTTGTTATGACGCTGTTGTTGTCTTTGTCTACGATATGTTTTTTGTCCATCATTTTCCGCCTTGAAATATGCGAAGAAAATAGTTTCGCATTATCGTTCACCTAAATTATGTATATTATATCACGTTCGTGTAATATTAACTGTTTATCCTTGGTTATTATTTAGATGGCTGCAAGAAACGCTTTGGCAAATTACCTGTTTTTATTTTTACTGATTCTTAATGCTCCTTCAGTATTTTCTCAGGGTAATCTTTTAGTTTAGTATGTAGCGCACTGGTCTCTCTACAAAAATATGAATCGATTATAAAACATTTATAGAATGTACGTCTGCTCTTGGTATGGCAGATAGACGCATTAAGGATAACCAGATCACCACTTCAGGATATTTGTTGAAGGCTAAAGGCTACCAAGCACGATTACGACAGAATATTCCTCCTTGGGGAGCTTGGTGCGTTGATAATAAAAATGGACAGCCATATAAGCCAAGTTATGACCAGTATATACAGATTGACCTCTTGAAGGTTACAAAAATAACCAAAGTCGCTACACAGGGACGACAGTATGCTCAGGGAAATGAGTTTGTCGAAGATTATAAAATAAAATTTAGTGTTGATGGTGTAACATGGATATTTTACAAGGATGCTGAAGGAAACGAAAAGGTTTGTTGTATGTTAAATTGCTTAGAGAAAGTTGTTCATATATACAATATTATTAAATATTTACTTTACATAACAGATTTTTCGTGCAAACAAGGATGTTACAATTGTGGTTCAACATATATTAAAGCCTTACATTAAAGCAAGGTATATTAGGTTATATCCCGGGTATCATGGCAAAAGAACAGAATGTATGAGATTAGAACTTTATGGTTGTATTTTCAATGAAGGTAATTTTTGAAATTTGATATTAAATCGTGAAAATTTTAATAATTTTTTTAACATTATTTCAGCAATTTTGTCATACACAGCACCAAAAGGTGAAACAACACCAAACAACAGGAACAATTATACAGATAGAAATTATGATGGTAGCAAAGGCCTTCTTACTGATGGTGTGTATGGTCTTGTTAATGCAAAAGAAGAAAAAGGCAAAGGCTGGCTTGGCTGGAGTCAAATGTCTGCTCATGAGTTTATTGATTTAGTGTTTGAGTTTACTGGTCCAAGGATGTTCAAAGATGTTGTTTTGGCTGTAAGTTTTGACAGTGTACTTAAACATGGTCAGTTCAGCAAAGCACAGATATTCTTTGCACCGACAAGAGAGGAATTAGCGAAATCAGCAAATTTTCTTGAGAACCGTCAAAAACATGACATGAAAAAAAGACGATACATTGATAATATCACGATTCCTCTTTGTAATAATACGGGAAGATTTGTGAAGATCCGATTATATTTTGGTGCAAAATGGTTGCTTCTTACAGAGGTTTTGTTTAATTCAGGTAAAATTTTGTCAATTTATTTTACGTTTTCTCCCCATGATCGCTCATGATATTGTAACCTTAGATAACAACTGGTTTGTCTGTCATACTTGAGAACTCTATGTCTTTTGTAGATCCAACAACAGCAATGAACTCAAAGCTGAAACGTTGTCCACGATATGGTTCTTCAACTACAATAATACCAAGCATTTTATGTAAAAGTAAGTTGAACAAGATTAAAAACGAGGGAAAGATGAGAAGTCACAAGAATAATGTTGTTTTTTCTTTAGATTGCGATACGTTGACAACAGTTTCAACAATAGGGGAAGCAAGGCATTCAAAATCAAATAATCTTCAAATGACTGTGATCATTGTTTGCGTCATTTTACTTGTCACCATTGTTCTTTTGGTTCTTATTTTTCTTTTGTATCGAAGGAGAGCACTTTGTTTTGATAAGTTGAAACAGAGGAAGAAAATGGAGAAGAATATTCATGTTGAGCTAAAGCAGACTGAGAATGCTGCAGAACCATTGTATGATAAAATTATGGATAATATGGGTAATCCATTGTATACATGTACACCTGGGGATAATGATGATACACAACCAATGTTGTCTCCTTCAAGGACCAAGTTTGATGCTCAGACAGGTAAAATGTTGGTATGATTTTGTAAAAGTTCAATACAGACATATTGCTAGTTCTGCTTATGAAGATAGGTGTATGTAACAATAACTTATATTGTATTATTTTAATATGGAAAATTTCACTTTGTGAAGTGAAAGTTAGATGGTTATTGTCATAAGTTCAGTTTTGTGGAGATATCTGGGAATTTAACTCTCAGGTTTTTTTCATGTTTAGTTCACAATACTATGTATTGTGTTCACTTGTAATGTATATGTTCCTTTTTTATCAAACAGTATGCATTATCATTCGATTTTGTATAACTAATGATTACACATTTTCATATTATTTGCCAGAGTTGCATTCATCCGAAGTATATTCAGATCCAGATAGTTTAAACGTCAAAGGTACGTTGGGCGTACAAGATGATTATGCAGACCCAGTTGATTGCCTAAAACCAAATGAAACATTGGGAAATCCTATCTATGAAGGAATATATTCAGAACCATTGTATGGTATTGCTGGTACCATACTTGTTGGACCCCAGGTTAGAAGTAGCTTTTACTGATTGATACAGTTTAACTTGAGGTGATTCGTAACGTCTGTAATTCGTACTCGTACAGGCCGAGACCATTAAACGAGGCTACACAATGGAGAAATTCCCACGCGATCGTTTATCATTTAAAGAAAAAATCGGTGATGGACAATTTGGCGAGGTTTACATAGCACTGGCAGATATAAGTGGCTGGAGTGCTCCTTTCGGTGAAGACTACGCTGGAAAGACGAAAATCACTGTAGCTGTGAAAACTTTAAAATGTAGAAATAAAATCTATTTTGTTTGCTTCTTTGAAATTGTTGAAATATTTGATCACGTGCTATTTTGTTCTAGGTGACGTAGAAAAGGATGCAAAGACAGATTTTTTCAAGGAAGTAAGAGTAATGTCTAGATTACAACATGAAAACGTTGTACGACTTTTGGCCGTATGTCGAGATGATCCTATATGTATGATTGTTGAATACATGGAAAATGGCGATCTAAATCAGTTTCTTAAATGTCACGTGTTAGAAGATGAAAATGATGTCATGATTTATGCCAATACAAAGCAACCAATCAGTTACGAAGAGTTAATGTATATTGCGTCGCAGGTTGCCTCTGGCATGAAGTATTTTGCTGCTATGAATTTTGTCCATCGTGACTTGGCTGCAAGAAATTGTTTGGTTGGTGAAAATTTGACCGTGAAATTGGCTGATTTTGGAATGTCGAGATTATTGTATTCCAAACATTATTATCGTGTACAAGGACGTGTTATGTTGCCTATAAGATGGATGGCACCTGAGAGTATATTCCAAGGTTGCTTGGTTCGATGAGTTTTTTATATTTCGTCCAATGAAATGAAACCATTTTAACATCTTTCATTTGTAGGTCGTTTTACAACACAGACTGATGTGTGGTCGTTCGGTATAACATTATGGGAGATCTTTACTCTAGCACAACAATTTCCATATCCGAATTTATCTGATGAACAGGTAATCGCCAACTCAAAAAGCGCATTTACTCAAGGTGATATTGGAGTCGAGTATAATGAAAAACCTGACGTATGTACACAAGATATGTTTGACATGATGAGGTCATGTTGGACCAGTAATCCAACACAAAGACCTAGTTTTGATACGTTGCATGAGTTTATAATGACGAAGGTAGGATCCACAAATTCTGCCATCGTTTGAAAAGATTACTATGAGTCTATGATTGTGATAAACTTTAGTATATTTTTGTTTCGGATGATTTCTAAACGTTTTTCGTGAGATTTGTTGAAAACAGTTGTGGTCTATTTTTAAAACAGTTTTTGTACTTTTTTCGAAAGCATTGATGTCTTTTATAGTTGTGTTTATATATATATACATATGTTAGCATGTTTTGTACTTGTATTTTTATGTTTTTGAAGGTTTTTACGCGTATAATAAAGGAAAACTAATTTGCTATTGCTGAAATTTTGAAATTGGCAAGTTTATATTCGTGCAAAAACTGCCTGCGAAATGTCAAAACACATTTTATCATTCCGGATGTTTTGTCGTTTTGTGAATGAAGGTTGTATTGTGCGCATGTCCTCTGCGTGTAGACATTAATTACCGACATTGCGATGATTACTCCGGATACGTCATAATGAGACCGTGTCACGTGTGAGATAAAAGTCGCGCTGATGGTTGTGGAAGTAAACAAGATGATGTAGAGAAAGTAGACAAGGTACGATAGGAAGTCGCGTGAAAAATTAACAAAAATTTAAACAACATGACTGAGAATGGAGAGAATTCAACAAACGGTCATTGTTCAGACGAACTTCAACAATTAACCACGTGCGTAAATTGCAACACTTCGTTCGCTGTTGTTGATAACACATGGCAGACTTGTAAAGCGAGAGCTTTAGAAAAGAAACTTGCTTTGATCGCCGGTAAAGCGGCCTTTGACCTCGAGGCATATGTGTTCAAACAGGTTTTACCTGCGAATCTAGTTCGTCCTCATATATTTCCTCGCACTATCGATGAGATGACCAGTTACATCGAGAATTGCAGTACGGAAGCCGAAAGAGAGAATATGAGAACATCTCGTGCGAAATGGAATGAATTACGTTCAAGAATAAACTGGACTGTTGTTCACGAGCAAGTGTTGGCGAGCGCAAAACAAAGTTATTTTATGATAAAACCGCCGTCAGATATGGTGAAGGAAATCAACGCGAACAAACGAACTAAGCAAGATTTAATTCTTGCATTTCGAACTGCGTTGCCTGTACATTTAAGACCGGGGGGTGATGAGTTTGTCGAAATTATTGATAAACTAAATCTTATATAATGACTTTGTTGTTTTTTGATATTAGTGTGACTCTAGAAGTTTTTGAATATTATCATAGTCTGAGATAAATCATGACGCCCGCCACGTCTGTCTGCGGTAATGTTTGTTTGATTATGTGTGCAATGAAACATGTATGTAAATCAATTTCCTTAATTGTTTGTTCCGGATTCCCCCCCTGTATGAATGTATATCCCTGGATACGTACTTTCCCCAAGCAAATTATCACGAGGCATCTTTCGTGCCGTCTGAAGGTTTTGTTGATTAGATATGATGCTGTAATTTCGTGATACATCTGGCTGGTGAGGATGGGCGAGGCTCAAATCATGTTTTTATGAAACGTTAACATGAACATTTAATGTTCAACATGCATTTGAAAGCAACAATGTCTTGAGCTTCTTTCTTGATTGACAAGACATTGTTTTAATGGGAATAAATTTTTATCATTCTTAAAAACGACAAGGATTGAGTTCGGTTATCTTTTCCGTTCGTGTAAGGTAAACTTCTTCCCGTCCAAAAACACAAAGGTCTTGGAAACGAGGTTAAAGGTATAGGTGCTGCTGGGAAGGTTCGTAATTAGTGACGTCATAAATGAAAAACCTGTAACAGAACATTTGTCTGGAACATATTATAGTGCCAGTGTGCGTCAAAGTAAATTCAAGTGTGTTCGAGTTCATTTTATTTCTAGGGTGAAAATGAGTGTGAAATGCTCATCGTTGACGACATCAGATCCTTATCATATTCCTGGGTTAGTAAGTTTGTGTAATTTCGTGGTGTCGTGATGTCTTTGTTTTAAGCAAATAATAATGAGCATCGTCACACTGTTGCTTAGTACAACACACTAATCTGTAAACAAAACATTTAACGCAAGAGAACTTTACTTACCTAGACCTTCCGTCGTATGCCTTTTTGATGACGAAGCTGTATTTTGTTTGACAAAGGTTTAATAAGATGTCTACAGACTGCCAAAATCTTTGTAATGTACTCTTTCGATATCAACATTTTAGCCGTCTAAAAACGAACGTGTGTAAGGTCGTGAACCATATAGAGGTTTCGCTAATTGTCGTCTCGTTTTGTCTCTAAAAAGCCATTTATTCTCCGTTCCCGTCGGTACCTACAAATTACAATCAATGCAAACTTTTTATTAACGTACCGTTGGTTATCAAACACAATCCGCCATCATTCAACGAAAAGTTAACGTTATCATAAATTGATTGAAACAATATAAATATAATTTATGTTTAATTTAACCATTATTCATGTTTTAGTTATATAGGATATTGTCCTCAATTGAAGTATCAAATCGGTGAAACATTTGGAAGAACAACATCTCAGTTGCTAAATGATTCTCGTATAGCTTCTTCCAAACATCCAGTTCTTTCCGCTCTTCACCACGAACCTTCTCTGGATAAAAGACAACAATTAATTTCACAACGTGGGGCGAGACTTGGGGACCAAAAACTTGTTGATAATATGGTTCCTGGCTATACAGGTAAAATAAAGTTAAATACAGGTTAAATACTATCGATTACTGTAATCACCTATAAAACGTAAAATTCCATTTCAGGTTTTATTCCTAGAAGCGAGCATCACTTTGGTAAAAGGTACGCCGATACAAGCCTCAATGCTGTGGCGAATTTTGAAAATGAACAAGAAAATAATAGACGTCGTTCCCAAGATTTACAAACAATTCAAGAGTTGCAGTCTGGTGCAAGCATTCCTTTTGATCAACTGAATGAAAAAACGATAAACAAGGCTCAACATAAGACTCCATTGAAAAGTATTCGTCAGCATCCTGCTTTTATTACTCAAGAATAGCACCTCAAAATTTGTTATCACCAATCGCCATGAGCAACGAGAATCCTAAAAAATATTTCATGTCAGGATATACAGGATTTGTTCCTCGCGCTAGGGGTAAACGATGCGATTACTGTTGAATGGAATTGTTTGAATTTTCTGCTAATTTTTCAACGTACATCTTTAGGTTTTATTGGCTGTAGTTATCCCAGAATAACCAATAAAGGATTATGTTATTATACTGATGAATGTGAGCGAATGAAAGATAGCGAGTTCAAACCAGTGATGGTCGATCGTGGAATTGTAAGAAAAATTGAGAGCAAACCCCTTTATCTAAAAGATACAGGAATGGTACCACATTACACTGGTCATGTGCCAGGTAAGTTTTATATTTAATTAAAAAAAAGCGTGTTTTGAGCAGATTAACGGACCACAATCCATTCATGTATGATTTGTAGATAAAGTTAAGTTGAGAATGTTCTCTTCAAACTATTGATGAAATGACTTTTTTAATAAATATGTGTAGGTGAGAAGTTTCGTTATGGTCAAACGTTTGGATTTAGTACCAAGAATGCTCGTAAACTTCTTGAAGTCAGCTAGAGGACGTGCTACATGAAGTATTAAATTATTATAAATATTTTTTATCTATATACAATGTTTTCACCTTTCACTACAAACTGAACTTATCACAACATTTTCCTTAAATATAACATTACGTCATTATAGAACACAACTGTTCGTCACGTTTTACATTGCTCCCTCACCCCCCCGGTGAAAGTAAATGTTAATCTTCTTCTTGTAGTAACAAGTACGGGTTAAACATTTGAAGGGAATTATTTGTGTCACTGTCTTCATCCGTATCTTCAGAGGATTCCCTCTCAAGTTCACATTGTGTACAATTTTCGTTTAGTCTCCACTGTTTTAAATCACTAAATTGTTGTTGTAATTTTGCTATTTCTTTTGTTTCCGGATGATCTTTCCACTCATCTATAAACAAAACATTCATCGTTGAAAATTTGCCTTCATTTACATTTAAGAGTTGTTATAGCGTTTCTGTGTCGTTAAAAAGATCAACCTTATGAAAACGATGTGGAAACGCTATGAAAACGATATGGAAACGCTATGGAAACTATATAAAAACGATATGAAAACGCCACGAAAACGCTAAAAGCGCAGGTAGCGCGTAAGCGAGGCTTTCGTTAAAGATTTTGTCAATGATTTATTTCAATCTCACCTTGCTTTGAAAAGAATCCAGGAGGATACAAACACATGACTATTTTCCCCTGTGTTGCCAATCGTAATAAACTGTTCGCTACAAAATAATGATGAACTATTCAACGACGACGATGATTTACAAAATTACAAGTGAATTGAAATTATAAACCTGCACGATATGTATCTGGTCTGCCCGCTTTGGCTGTACGAAATCCACGTTGCTCTGCCCAAGCTGAAGAACAAGGTAAAAATATAGTTTGCCATCAATATTTCATTCAATAATCCATCATTACCACTTACCGTCGCAAATATCCCATGCTGACCATTCTATATCCTTAGGTATTGACTCGTCATCTTCAAGTTGAGCGATTTTGGGATGAACAAGATTTAAGGTGTTCTCCAAAGGTATGCAAGCCGCCATATAACCGACAACGGAATATGGTTCTCGCACTTGAGCAATCGGATAGGTACCCGACAGGATCTAGAGGTATATATGGATACATGAAAAGGTTACTAATAGTGATTTAAAAAAGATACCAAACCAGGTTGTACACATGCTCTATAGACAAGATTAATTTGACGCCATACAAACCTGAAGTCTTCTATCAACAAGAGATGGAAAAACTAAACCTGGGGAATCACAAAGACGAACGTTTGGCGTTAAAAATATCGTCTGGAAATGTTTGGTATGACCTGGAGTTCTTGAGCAACTAACCACCTACAATAATAGTTACGAAAAAAATATCGGATTTTAATGAAAATGTTTATTGCAATGGAGGTGAAAGAGTCATCTTACCTTTTTACCAACAAGACCGTTAAGTAATGATGATTTTCCAACATTGGGATGACCTAAACAAGACAGGAGACAATCTTCACGCGATCATTCATATGATGTAAGGTACGATGATATAGCAGCAGACCTACTAATCCTATGGTTAAAATTCCTTCTTGTTTTTCAACATCTTCATATGTTGAAGAATCACCTAAACACCACAAGATGTTTCACTTGGGAATGATAATTTTTCATCAATTATCTATTGTTAAAAACATGTTAGAAGACCTTCATCCTCGTCAGAGCTTAACATTTCGTCGTAAGTTACACCACCATTGCTCTCATTTTCAATGTGACTTAGCCAATCCTTCAAATTTACTGTGAAAAAAAGTTCTTTGTCAAAACGCAGTGATGCTTTTAAAATATAGACAATGACTTTTAAAACCTTTTCCATCCACAATTTTTGTGCAAATGCTATGTAACTCCAATGGTCCTATAGGCATGAATGATTTTTTCTTTTTTCTACCCAAATGTTTTTTTACTGCAATATGATGATGAAATGAATGATTTAGGTACATAGTTAAATTTGAAAAGGTTCTTCCTCCAAACACCTTCAACTACACAACTTTCATTGTAAGAACCTGTGAATACTAACAATCATCTAGGGAAAAATACCTTTTGTTTCTAATTGACGTATTTCTTCAGGATCTTTGGGAAAAGAAGTGAAACATACAATATGTAGGTGAGGAAACTTCTCTTGAAAATAACATTTCCATGAAACTACCACTTCCGGTGTGACTAAATCAATCTAAACATGTTGCAAGAATAGTGAGGTTATCATTAAGTGTTTTAGACTTTCATTCGAAATAAAGCAACTGGATATACCTTATTTAAAACAAGAACAATGTCTTTTTTTAATTCATCTCGAACATATGTGTAGAGGGTTGGTGAAAAATGAATTACCTAAATTGATTGGTTGCTTTGTTATGATTATATTGCATCGTTTACATGAATGAATGAATAGGCTTTGTACTAATACTTACAGGATACCGTACATCAGTTATTATTAGTACAATGTCTGAGACCTCCAAGACCCTCCATAACTGTCTCCATGTCTAGTGACAGAATATTTACGAAATAATGTTATCATGTACATCTGATGATACATTTGACATTTTCATGATATTGTTTTACTTCTAAATTCATCTCAAAGTAACTGAGTTGAGAACCCAAATTTTCCTTCTTTATATCATCAACATATTTTATGAACATTTTTTCTTCATTTTTCTCCACTTCATGTTTGCTCATTGTATAACTCCATCGAGGTCTTTTGGGCATGTCCAAAACTTTATAAAAATTACTTAGACATTTGAAACATGTAAGTACTCCATAAATGAATGTAACTATCAACAATCAAAAACAACCTCCAACAATACACATCAACAGTTAAAATACGATAAATATATATGTCCTCACCAGTTCCAGGTTTGTAGATTTCCTCAAGAGTAATTTCAAGTTGTTTCTATAAAATGAAAAAATATCTACGTATCTTCTAGCATTGGTGATACAAAAATATAAAACTTTTCATTAATAAGGAAAACCTTCTCAAATCGAATAATTGGCATTCTGGCTTTTCTTTTTCTTTCTTCAATTTCATCATTGCTTTCAGTTTGAAAAAACAATTTGTACCTAGATAAATAAGAAAATTATAAGAATCAAGTGTGATTGTTATCATTGTGCTGTAATCTTTAATGTAATACCTGTCTGGATCGTGGTTGCGTTTACTATTTACACTTGACGTTGGAACAGAATTTTCACCAGAATCCTCATTAGAATCACTTACGACTGGTGAATGAGAACACTTTTCTGCTCTTTTTTGAGCCCCTGTGTAATAAATAGTAAATAAAAGTAAAGATAGACAATCATTAGACATACCCCACACAATTTTTTAAACGAGCAATATATATTTCTTTTTGCACGAAGAAGTTTAATCACACCTGGCTGTTTGTCGGTATAATGACGTTTCTTTTTCAGCTGTTCTTTTTTTTGTTTTGCACTAAAAGCTTTTTTTCTGGGCATACTGGACGAACGACACTTTTTTGTCTTGTCACTTACATTGCGTAATATTATTTTATAGCAACTTTTGGGCGATGAGAAAATAATATGGAATAGTGAACGATGAAAGTCGGAGTGCTTCGGAGTATTAAGAGAATCGGGTCAGTGAGTAAAATAGAAGAAAATGTATTTCATCTTTTTGGATCAGTGATTAGTCGGGATGTAATTATCTGATCCGTAAGTTTTTAGCCATCAGAATTTCATTAAATTGATTTTGTAAAAAAAGAGTTGTCTGATATAACATGAAGCATATTCCGAATAAAAGACTCATGTTTAAATCCTGTTTTTGGTACATGCCTCCCGATACCCCGAGAGAGTTTAGCACTAGAGCGTCTCATGTTAATTAAGGGAACCAGATGATCCTTGTTTGCCATGAAGCCCATGGATGGTTTGCTCGTGATACATGAGAAACAGTAAATGAGAGAGTTCAATCAGAAAGATATAAACCAATAAAAATTGTATAAATCATGATTAAGGTTGTCTTAAATTATAAGTGTCATAAAAAGGGACAGTTTCAGAAGAATTTAATTGAAGCAAAAAAACCCCGTTTTCGGTCCATGCTTCCCGATACCTTCTTAAGCGTAAGGCACTAGGAACGCTGCATGTTAACGTTTCGGTAGGAGATTTCGGCCCCTCCACGCTATCCTACTTGGGAGATGCAATAGCAAGCTTCCGCCCATCAGACCCCGAGATCACCTGCGATAGGCTTTGCTCGGGGTACGCAGGGAGAGTGCGGTCGCGACCCGAAACGTCTGGACCCCTAAGCCACTGCATACATATCGCACCCGGCTTCCACTGCTAGTTGACATCTACTATCTATATATTTAGCTTTATATTTATATACATAAACTCAAAGGCCTTACGAAAGTTGTGGTATTATTAAAGTTACTACTGCGCATGCCCAGACAATTTCCTTAATAATTTGCGACTAAGTGAGCTAATTGCCACAAATGTAGTGCAAGTACATAGGGTTAGTCGTGGCCATGCGCATGCGCAGATGATTTCTCTATTAAATTGTTATTAAGCATGCTATTTACTTTAAAATCGGTGCCAGTAGATGCATTTTGTCGTTGCCATGACCATGAACTTGGGAAGCTGGTCAAGTCGACTGCGCATGCTTGAGCATAATGCGCATGCGCAGATGATTTATCTGAAAATTTGTGTCTGAGCGAGCTAATTACTCTATAATAGGTACTAGTACATACATTTGGTCGTTGTCATGTCCATAAACTTGGAGATTTAGTGAGAGATTTACAAATTCATCATCAGACTGTCACCATTTGATTTCACTTTCTCACAATCACCTAATCCCTTTCATCCAATTCGCACACGTACTTCCGTTGAAATGATGTAAAGCACATATAAGTAGAGCGTCTGTTGGCTTGTAAATATAGTCTGATGATGGATTTTTAACAAATTCAAAATATTACTTTGCAAGTAAAATTTCTTGTTTCTTTCTCAAATATTGAGTTAAACATTAGTCTTTTATTCGGAGTATGCTTCATATTATATTAGACAACGAGTGTCTGAATTTTTGTGGACGGCAATGACCGTGTGGAAGATGGAAACATGTATTGTTTGGCTAGGCTCAACCTGTCGTCTCAATTACTGAAATTCTTTATTGAACAAGTTATTTCGTTTAGAAAAAACTATTTATTGGGTTCTGTAACGGTTAAAAAATATCAATGAACATATAGGTTTTTGATGGAGCATTCATTAAATCCTGACACTCAAGAGAATGATGAAATTCATTCGGATTCAGAAGGTATGAATAAACAGATTCTCTCAAACTATCTCTTTAAGAATTTGTAAGGAGAATTTCGACTTTATCTATTTTCTAAAATTTTACTTTGTCAATTGGTTTGGATGGAATGTATATTGTACATAAAATGACGTTATTTTGTACATAATTTGTTGAATTATTGTGTTCCGAAATATTATGTGAACATAGATAAAAATGTAATGAATCATGTTGGTCAGGTCAGATACCTGTAGTACAGACGTCCTTGGATGTTCTAAGCAATATCGCTTGTGAAGATGAAAATTTTGATGGAACAAATCATGAAGTTAATTCAAATGTGCAGAGTCAGAGCTGTGATGTTGGAACATGTGACGATGCCAGTATTGAAACCAGCACAAATCATGTTATTTCTGCTGAATATTTTGAAGAATATCGCTCACCAGATAGTGATGCGAATATTGAAGTTGATCAAGGTAAAAGAAACACTTATAGCATAAATTTATAGGTAGAAATATTCTTAGTATGTGCTGTCGCCATGTTCTGAAGAATTTACAGATTTGATAAAATATTTTTAGTGACACATGAATATGAAAGATTCAGAAACAAATTTCATAGAATGTTTTCTCATGAAATTTTGCACAATGCAGAACACGAGTTGTACTAAGTGATAACAACTAATGAGGTTGCATGATCTATATTTTATTTTCTGTTACTGAAAATTAGAACAAATGTTTGTTAAAATGATGGTGTAATATTGACCTTATAATTATATAAAGGATTTTTAATGATTGTTTTGTGTAGGATAGCCCATGTAAAGGTTCTATACAGTATTGCGAGGCCCCAAAATCTTTTGAAATACTCCATGAGATTTAATGTGATACATCTTTTGCCATGTACGGTTATTTAATCATTATGCTTTACTTGAAATATGGCTTCTATTTATTTTTAGACACTTCATGTGAAAGTGTATTGCGTAAGAGCATAAGAGCTCGAAGACCTAGAAAAATGTCACCTGGAAGTAGCGAATCAAGCGTTGTAAACAAGAAACCTAGAATGAGCAGATATTCAAAAAGGGCAAAGACAAAAAATGTTCCATTTAAATGTGATCTATGTGGCTCAAGTCATATAACAGACCCTTCTCGACGTGGTAATAGACTTCGGCTATCAATGCATGCACCAAGTCCGAGACATAAACTGGACCCAGAAACAGGAAAGATGCTTACTTTATGTAATGCTTGTGGTAAGTACTTTCTTATGTTTTAATGTTTTTAAAAAATCTTTATTTAAAAATATGATCTAACAATGCAATATAATATTTGATTTGTTATCTCAACTTAATACAATAATTTTCTTGTAGGTTTGTCATTTAACAGAACAAAAGTGCGGAGACCACAAGCTATTTGTGATCCAGAAGCAAAGAATGCTTATCTTGTAGAAGCTCAACAATTTGCTTCCTCATTGGCAGAAGGTCTTAATGACCAAGATGGTGAGTACTTGTTTGTAGATGTAGATTGTCCAGCTTAGTAGAGTCATGAGAAGGACTGTTGTTGTTGATGTTGACTGATGTTTTGACAACCTTAGCGATAGTCGTCTTCACAGTCAAAAAATGACTACCGCTAAGGTTGTCGAAACGTGAGTCAACATCAACATAAACAGTCCTTCTCAGGACTATACCAACCTGGACGATCTACATCTACAAACATGTAACGATACTCCCGGGTTCAAACCATTTACTTTATGGTGAGTCTAACTATTATTTATAGCTTTTCAAGTGTATGAAAGATGTAAATGTATATTTACAAAGATGTTTATACCTATATTTACAGCTGCAAGACTGTATTGTCCTCAGTTTAAAACAAGCTCTTGTGGTTGTTTGCAAAAATACATATTGGCTGAAGGTGTGGTCAAAATGTCTCTCTAGTCACATTTATATGATTTTACTGCTCTATGACATTTTTCACAATGACTGTACTTTAACATCGAGTAAAGTTATGTTGTCATACTGTACTCTAACATCAAATATAGCTACGTTGTCATACTGTACTCTAACATTAAATATAGCCACGTTGTCATACTGTACTTTAACATTAAATATAGCTACGTTGTCATACTGTACTTTAACATTAAATATAGCTACGTTGTCATACTGTACTTTAACATTAAATATAGCTACGTTGTCATACTGTACTCTAACATTAAATATAGCTACGTTGTCATACTGTACTCTAACATCAAATATAGCTACGTTGTCATACTTTACTTTAACATTAAATATAGCTACGTTGTCATACTGTACTTTAACATTAAATATAGCTACGTTGTCATACTGTACTTTAACATGAAATATAGCTACGTTGTCATACTGTACTCTAACATTAAATATAGCTACGTTGTCATACTTTACTCTAAAATTAAATATAGCTACGTTGTCATACTGTACTTTAACATTAAATATAGCTACGTTGTCATACTGTACTTTAACATTAAATATAGCTACGTTGTCATACTGTACTCTAACATTAAATATAGCTACGTTGTCATACTGTACTCTAACATTAAATATAGCTACGTTGTCATACTGTACTTTAACATTAAATATAGCTACGTTGTCATACTGTACTCTAACATTAAATATAGCTACGTTGTCATACTGTACTTTAACATTAAATATAGCTACGTTGTCATACTGTACTCTAACATTAAATATAGCTACGTTGTCATACTGTACTTTAACATTAAATATAGCTACGTTGTCATACTGTACTCTAACATTAAATATAGCTACGTTGTCATACTGTACTCTAACATTAAATATAGCTACGTTGTCATACTGTACTCTAACATTAAATATAGCTACGTTGTCATACTGTACTTTAACATTAAATATAGCTACGTTGTCATACTGTACTCTAACATTAAATATAGCTACGTTGTCATACTGTACTTTAACATTAAATATAGCTACGTTGTCATACTGTACTTTAACATTAAATATAGCTACGTTGTCATACTGTACTCTAACATTAAATATAGCTACGTTGTCATACTGTACTCTAACATTAAATATAGCTACGTTGTCATACTGTACTTTAACATTAAATATAGCTACGTTGTCATACTGTACTTTAACATTAAATATAGCTACGTTGTCATACTGTACTCTAACATTAAATATAGCTACGTTGTCATACTGTACTCTAACATTAAATATAGCTACGTTGTCATACTGTACTTTAACATTAAATATAGCTACGTTGTCATACTGTACTCTAACATTAAATATAGCTACGTTGTCATACTGTACTTTAACATTAAATATAGCTACGTTGTCATACTGTACTCTAACATAAATATAGCTACGTTGTCATACTGTACTTTAACATTAAATATAGCTACGTTGTCATACTGTACTCTAACATTAAATATAGCTACGTTGTCATACTGTACTCTAACATTAAATATAGCTACGTTGTCATACTGTACTCTAACATTAAATATAGCTACGTTGTCATACTGTACTTTAACATTAAATATAGCTACGTTGTCATACTGTACTCTAACATTAAATATAGCTACGTTGTCATACTGTACTTTAACATTAAATATAGCTACGTTGTCATACTGTACTTTAACATTAAATATAGCTACGTTGTCATACTGTACTCTAACATTAAATATAGCTACGTTGTCATACTGTACTTTAACATCAAATATAGCTACGTTGTCATACTGTACTTTAACATCAAATATAGCTACGTTGTCATACTGTACTTTAACATCAAATATAGCTACGTTGTCATACTGTACTCTAACATTAAATATAGCTACGTTGTCATACTGTACTTTAACATCAAATATAGCTACGTTGTCATACTGTACTTTAACATCAAATATAGCTACGTTGTCATACTGTACTTTAACATTAAATATAGCTACGTTGTCATACTGTACTCTAACATTAAATATAGCTACGTTGTCATACTGTACTTTAACATTAAATATAGCTACGTTGTCATACTGTACTTTAACATTAAATATAGCTACGTTGTCATACTGTACTTTAACATTAAATATAGCTACGTTGTCATACTGTACTCTAACATTAAATATAGCTACGTTGTCATACTGTACTTTAACATTAAATATAGCTACGTTGTCATACTGTACTTTAACATCGAGTAAAGTTACGTTGTCATACTGTACTCTAACATCAAATATAGCTACGTTGTCATACTGTACTCTAACATTAAATATAGCTACGTTGTCATACTGTACTTTAACATTAAATATAGCTACGTTGTCATACTGTACTTTAACATTAAATATAGCTACGTTGTCATACTGTACTCTAACATTAAATATAGCTACGTTGTCATACTGTACTTTAACATTAAATATAGCTACGTTGTCATACTGTACTTTAACATTAAATATAGCTACGTTGTCATACTGTACTTTAACATTAAATATAGCTACGTTGTCATACTGTACTTTAACATTAAATATAGCTACGTTGTCATACTGTACTTTAACATGAAATATAGCTACGTTGTCATACTGTACTTTAACATTAAATATAGCTACGTTGTCATACTGTACTTTAACATCAAATATAGCTACGTTGTCATACTGTACTCTAACATTAAATATAGCTACGTTGTCATACTGTACTTTAACATTAAATATAGCTACGTTGTCATACTGTACTTTAACATTAAATATAGCTACGTTGTCATACTGTACTCTAACATCAAATATAGCTACGTTGTCATACTGTACTCTAACATTAAATATAGCTACGTTGTCATACTGTACTCTAACATTAAATATAGCTACGTTGTCATACTGTACTTTAACATGAAATATAGCTACGTTGTCATACTGTACTTTAACATTAAATATAGCTACGTTGTCATACTGTACTCTAACATTAAATATAGCTACGTTGTCATACTGTACTTTAACATTAAATATAGCTACGTTGTCATACTGTACTCTAACATTAAATATAGCTACGTTGTCATACTGTACTCTAACATTAAATATAGCTACATTTTCATACTATACTAACATTAAATATAGCTACGTTGTCATACTGTACTCTAACATTAAATATAGCTACGTTGTCATACTTAACTCCAACATCAAATATAGCTACATTTTCATACTATACTCTAACATGAAATATAGCTACGTTGTCATACTGTACTCTAACATCAAGGATGGTTACCCAGTCGTATTGTTTGTTCTTCAAGTGTATTTTGTCTTACCTCTACCTTGCTATTTAATCCGTTGTGTAACATCGAGTTGAATTTTCTTCAGGCAATTTGGACGAGTCTCGTCAACGAGCGCTTAAGTTGGTAGAACTACTAAAGCAGTCAAAGGTTCTTTCCAAACAGAAATGTTATCAAACTGAAGAAAGTTCTACACTTTCACCTGAGAAGAAAGGAAAGAAGTAATGTTCATATTGATGTCCCTTGAACATGACCTTTTTTTGACAAAACTTGTCCTACTTTTAGAGGGCATTTTTAGAGACTTGGTGGTAGGCTGTTGAAGATTGGATGGTGAGATTTATTGGGTGGTGAGGTTGTTGGGGATTGGGTGGTGAGGTTGTTGGGGATTGGGTGGTGAGGTTGTTGTAGATTGGGTAGTGAGGTTGTTGGTGATTGGGTGGTAGGTTGTTGGAGATTGGGTGTTAGGTTGTTTGTGATTGGGTGGTAAGTTTTTGGAGATTGGGTGGTAGGTTTTTGGAGATTGGGTGGTAGGTTGTTGGAGATTGGGTGTTAGGTTGTTTGTGATTGGGTGGTAGGTTGTTGGAGATTGTGTGGTAGGTTTTTGGAGATTGTGTGTTAGGTTGTTGGGAATTTGGTGGTAGGTTTTTGGAGATTGGGTGGTAGGTTGTTGGGGATTTGGTGGTAGGTTGTTGGAGATTGTGTGTTAGGTTGTTGGGGATTTGGTGATAGGTTGTTTGTGATTGGGTGGTAGGTTGTTGGAGATGTTAGGTTGTTAGGGATTGGGTGGTAGGTTGTTAGGATTAAGTTGTTTGTGATTGAGTGGCAGGTTGTTTGTGATGGGTGGCAGGTTATTAGGATTAGGTGGTAGGTTGTTAGGATTGGGTGGCAGGTTGTTAGGATTGGGTGGCAAGTTGTTTGTGATTGGGTGGTAGGTTGTTAGGGATTGGGTGGTAGGTTGGATGGTGGTAGGTTGTTAGGATCAGGTGGTAGGTTGTTTGTGATTAGGTTTGATGGGTGGTAGGTTGTTTGTGATTGGGTGGTAGGTTGTTAGGGATTGGGTGGTAGGTTGTTAGGATTGGGTGGTAGGTTGTTAGGGATTGGGTGGTAAGTTGTTTGTGATTGGGTGGTAGGTTGTTAGGGATGGGTGGCAGGTTGTTAGGATTGGGTGGCAGGTTGTTAGGATCGGGTGGTAGGTTGTTTGTGATTGGGTGGTAGGTTGTTTGTGATTGGGTGGTAGGTTGTTTGTGATTGGGTGGTAGGTTGTTTGTGATTGGGTGGTAGGTTGTTGGTGATTGGGTGGTAGGTTTTTGGTGAGTGGGTGGTAGGTTGTTGGAGATTGGGTGTTAGGTTGTTAGGGATTGGGTGGTAGGTTGTTGGGGATTGGGTGTTAGGTTGTTGGAGATTGGGTGTTAGGTTGTTTGTGATTGGGTGGTGGATTGTTTGAGTGCGATATGCTGATATTTATATGAGAGAAATTTGCTGATGGCTAAAACTCATATTAAAGAAAGTGATGTTGAATCTATGTTATATATACATTCAAATGTTCATATTTTTTCTTGTAAGAGTTGCTTTGTGCTCGTAGTTTGCATAAATACGTCATGTAATGATTCTTTTAGAGGGAAAGGCATTGGGCTTGGAAATGGCCAAAGAAAGTCAAAAGCCTTTGAAGATTTCATTTTAGAACAACGTGTTTATCTCCGGGAAGAACTAAAATTATGTGAACAAGCCACTCAAAGGGTTCTTTGCTATTCCAATAATTTCTTACATAAGAGATTAAAAACTGACCCATCGGTAAGTGTCTAGATAAGGTTTTTAATTGGTGGGGAGATGTTAAAGGTGGTGTTTTAAAGGGCTAGAGGGGTGTGTTTTGCAATGTAATTTTATCATGTGTATTTTTAAGAAACCATTGCGTGTACAAAGGCAGAAAGGTCAAGCAGCTCTTGGAAAGTTGAAGTCAATTGAAGAACTTCAGAACGAGACATGTTGCGTGGATAAATGTGTTAATGTAAGTCATTTTCATAATGCATTGGCATTAGCTTCTCCTGATTTTTTAATCGTGCTCTACGTAAGCTGGCTTGCCTCACTGTATGATATGTCTGTATGCATATGAACAGCTAAATATTTTGTTGCGTTTAGATTGCTAGCACTCATAGCAAATTACTACAACAATGGCGCGAACGGTCATCAAAAGGACAAGCTGAAGCTCGCCGAGTTTTAGCCGAAATGTTGACACCGTCTGGGGGTGCACGATCTAACTGTTATAGATTCATATCTTGGGTGACTGGTTGCAGCCATAGTACTATCGGTCGTGTCAACGAACAGATGAAGAAAACAGGCGAGCTATGACTTAGATAAAATTTGTCTCAAAGCAAACAATAAACTATCTTTTGGAGGTCAGTTATGTCTTTTTAACTTCTTGTTGTTATATCTATTCAGGAGGAGACCGTGAGCCGCCTGCGCATGGGCTGATCACGTGGTGGAAGGAACACCCAAAACCAAAGAAAACGAAGGCAAAGCCAGCTTTGCAAAATACATCGCATACTGTTCAGATTCAAAACTTTACTAATTCTCAAATCCAAGCGTTGCACCAGCTGGGTATTTTACCCACAACAATGTTGTCAGGACATAATCCTCAGCATGTTTTAACCATCAATACACCTCTTGGAGCAAATGGACCTGCAACAACTCAGGCACAAACCTCAAATAGAACACTGGTGCTTACTCCTACACAACATACACAGCTACAAATTCAGCAATTGCAACAACAGCAGCAACAATTACAACTTCAGACATTGCAACTTCAGCAACAACTACAACAGCAGTTGCAGCAAGAACAGCAACATCTTTCAAGTAATCCTAATGATCAAAACCAGACGATTATTCAAATTCCAAGTCAAGTCGTATCAACACCCGAAGGATCTTGTCTAACAATAGCACAATCTCACGAATTTCCTGCTGGATCTTTCACCTCTACCCTGAATCCCACCTCCCAAACTCAAGGTATTATGAACAGTAATCCAAGCAGTAATTCACAGACAACAGCCATTAGTACGGAAACATTTTTGACATCTGATACAATACAAATCCTCAGTTCAGGACAAATGCAGTCAGTATTACCACATGTTGTAACATTACAATGTTCTAATGAGGCAAATACAACACAAGCTTTACCTGTATCGCTTATACATACTCAAACTAACTTATCAATGTAAATAGTGAAAACTTTTGAATGCGAAAGATGATTACTGTAATGTCTTAAAGCCTTAATTAAAAATAGTCATCAAAAAAACTTTTCAAACATTTGTCTTCTATGAACTTTCTTAACATTTCGAGATGACGTGGAACGGCAAAGTGTTTATTTCTTTGTAATTGATTACATCAATTTTTTGTCAATCAAATTCAAGAAAAATGTTGAAGAAACAAGTCAAGACAACATTTAAAATCAACGTTATTTAAGAATTGGTCGAAGGAAGGAATAGAATTTGTGTTTTGTTACGAGCAAGGTTATGGCGGTGAGGAATCCAGTCAAAAAATTGTGTCGTTTTTCACACACTTTTATGCGTGAAAATGCATAAACTATACAGTCTTTGGCATAAAGATGTGCGAAAATATTTAGACTATAGTCTTTGGCCTGAAAATGTGTGAAAATGTATGCAACATTTTCAAGCCAAAGACTATAGTTTTGAATTTTCACATATTTTCATAACAAAGACTATACATTTTTACACACTTTCACGCCAAAGACTATAGTCTTTGCATTTTTACACACTTTCATATCAAAGACTATAGTCTTTGCATTTTTACACACTTTCATATCAAAGACTATAGTCTTTGCATTTTTACACACTTTTAAGCAAAAGACTATAGTCTTTGCATTTTTACACACTTTTTACGAAAAGACTATAGTCTTTGCATTTTTACACACTTTCATATCAAAGACTATAGTCTTTGCATTTTTACACACTTTTAAGCAAAGACTATATCTTTATTTTTTACATCTCTTTACAAAAAGACTATAGTCTTTGCATTTTATTTTACACTTTTTTGCAAAAGACTATAGTCTTGTTTTACACACTTTACGCAAAAGACTATAGTCTTTGATTTTACATCTTTTTTTCAAAAAAAGACTATAGTCTTTTATTTTAT